CGGAGAGAGCAGGATGGGAACGGGATGGGAACGGGGAGTCCGGAGAGAGCGGAGCGGGATGGGAACGGGGAGGCCGGAGAGAGCGGAGCGGGATGGGAACGGGAATGGTGAGTGCGGAGAGAGCGGAGCGGGATGGGAACGGGAATGGTGAGTGCGGAGAGAGCGGAGCGGGATGGGATGGGATGGGAACGGGGAGTCCGGAGAGAGCGGGATGGGAACGGGGAGTCCGGAGAGAGCGGGATGGGAACGGGATGGGAACGGGGAGTCCGGAGAGAGCGGACCGGATCGGGATGGGAAAGGAGTAGAGAGTCTGGAGAAACCGGACAGGACCAGAGCTGGGAGTTCGGAGAGACGGGCTGGAATGGAATGGGACGGGATAAGGTATGGAGGGAATGGCGAATCCGCGCTCCCGGCCCCTTCTTGCGGTCCGGCAGTCCGTGAGTTCCCCAGGGACCGCTGCTGGGTCCGGGCTCTTTCGCCGTGTCCATGACCCACCCGCATGAAAGGATGAAAGGGCCCTGAGCGGGTCTGGCCATGATACGAAATGTGCGGCAGTGCCTGATCCACCCGCAGGCTGCGCTGCCGTCCAGCAGGGCCTCCATCGGCTGGAGAATTGGGCAAAGAAAAAAGTAATAATTCGTTAGAATAACCTAATGAACCTCAGCAAGAGCAAGTGTAAGATCCTGCACCTGCAGAGGAATAGCCCCAAGTACAAGAGGGATCCTGGGATGCATCAGGAAGAGCATGGCCAGCAGGTCAGGGAGGGGATCCCGCCCCTTGGCCAGAGTGATGTGTCCAGTTCTGGCTCCTCCGTCAGGACAGACAAGGAGCTGCTGGAGATTGTCCAGGACAGGCCACAAAGATATTGAGGGACCTGCAGCATTTCTCTGAGGGGAGTCTGTGGGAGCTGGACCTGGTTAGTCTGGAGAGAAGACTGAGAGGGGATCTTACTAATACATATAAATACCTCCAAAGGGTCAGAGGTTGATGCCAGACTCTTTTTGGTTAATGCCCAGAAACAGGACGAGGAGCATCAACTATAAACTAAACCAAAATAAGTTTCACCTCAACATAAGGAAGAACTTTCCATGGAGCGGGGCAGAGCACTGGAGCAGCCCATGGAGTGTTGGGAGTTCTGGAGACACCTGGACATTCTCCAGTGTCACCTGCTCTGGGTGACCCTGCCTGGACACAGAGGGCTGGACTGGATGATCTCCAGAGGTCCTTCCACCCCTGATTATCCTGAGATTCCGTGTCTCTCTTGCAGGTGCAGCCATGGTGTCCAAAAAGCAGCTGGCAGATTTTGGCTACAAGGCCTTCTCGGGCTCCATGATGCTGCTGACGGTGTACGCTGGGTACCTGTGCAGTGTCCGTGTCCAAAGGATGCTCCAGCACCGCCGCCAGCGGGAGAATGTGCCTGGCCCTGAGAGCTGAGCCCATGCTGGGACCGGCCCCGGGAGCTGGGACCGGCCCCGGGCGCTGGGACCAGCCCCGGGAGCTGGGACCAGCCCCGGGAGCTGGGACCGGCCCCGGGAGCTGGGACCGGCCCCGGGAGCTGGGACCGGCCCCGGGATCTGGGACCGGCCCCGGGATCTGGGACCGGCCCCGGGCGCTGGGACCGGCCCCGGGATCTGGGACCGGCCCCGGGATCTGGGACCGGCCCCGGGCGCTGGGACCGGCCCCGGGCGCTGGAACCGGCCCCGGGATCTGGGACCGGCCCCGGGATCTGGGACCGGCCCCACCTTCGCTGTCCCCCCCAGGCTGGGGAGGCAGATGGAGTGCAATAAAACCTGTGTGTAAGTGGTTGGTGTGGTTGTGTGTGGTGTCCCCCAAATCATAAAGTGGCCTGGGCTGGGAGGGACCTCAAAGCTCACTTGGTTGTGATAGTGAAAGGTTTCTAAAATCATGGGAATTCAGGGAATTGGAAGGAAAGTTGGGGTTGGTAAGCGCTGGGAAAACGTTAGGCCTTGTCTTTGCTAGATCATGTGAAAAGGCACCTGTGTAATCATTGTATGATAAATTATGACTCTTAGATGTAATGCTTGCTTAGTAATTAGATATAATTATTGTTTAATCTTAACAAGAATAATGAGAAATTGTGGCCAGTGTGGTGGTTTGTGGTAAACCCCAAATCATAAACTGGGCTGGGCTGGGAGGGACCTCAAAGGTCACTTGGTTCCACCCCCCTTCCATAGGGAGGGATGCCTTCCACAAGTCCATTACTTCTATTCTTCCAAAAAGTTGTTTCTCCTGTGCTCCTGGCAGCAGCCCAGGTGCTCAGAGACAGATACACACTGTCCTCTCTTCTATTTCCTCAAGATGAAACGCATCACCCCAGGTTTCTGAAGCAACTTTTAATTGGAGATAAGAGTAAACAACAGTATAAAATGGTAACAACTTGAGAAGTTTCCAAAATTCTGCTCCTGATTGACCGTTCCATTGCCCCCAAGTACCACTGAGTAAAAAAAAAAAAGAGAAGCAAAGCCCACAGTGTGGCTGCTCTTCCAGCCCTGGGTTCCTCCACAGCTCTAACATCAGAGCAGCAACAATCACTTGTCTCAGAGTACAGGACCAAAACATCTCATTTTTAGGAGAGTTAAACCCAGCCTACCAGTTCTGATCCTGCCTCTGATCCCTGCTTAGCCAACTGAATCCAGTAGGTCTAGAGAAGTCTTCAAAACCACAATTTGCAACAGGAAGAAAACAATTTAAAACGCCTGGATTATGCTGGTTGTCTCAGGGGCAATAAACCGCCCCCCAAACCCCCTTGCAGAAGGCTTTGGTCAAGACTTCAGAGGGGTTTGCAGCACCAAAAGAGGCAGCAGATGCTGGCCTGGTCCCTGGTGACAGCAGAGATGAGCAGCTGGGACCTCCCCAGCAGCCTGGGGCAAGGCAGAGCAGTGGTTCTGGGTTAGCACAGTTCAAAGCTCAGCTGGGAGCAGAGTCTCTGCCTCACCCAGGGCAGCTGGGACATGGAACCTGCGTTCTCTGTGCTCTGAAGTGGCTTCTGGAGTGCATCAAGAGCTGCTGCACCTGCTGGGAGTGAACCGTCGCTGAGCGGCACCAAATCCTGTGGTCCAAATGTGCTCTGCCTCGAGTTGATCCCAGTAAAAGTCAGTTTGTCACAAACAAAGACACCTCTGCAAATACCAACAGGACTCGGGTGTTTTCTTGTACTTTTGAAGCACAAAATGGCTTGAAGTGAAATCTGCAGCTTTATTTTTGCCCCGGTTGTTGGCTTCATCCTTTGTGCTGTGCAAAGCCTCTGACTGGTCAGGGTTGTGCCCGTTTCGGGTCTGCTGGAGGTTTCTGGGGAAGGGGTTTTTGATTAAAGATCACTTGGGAATATGGAGCTCAACACAACTAGATATTGAAAGAGAAGTTCGTGTTTGCTCAAGGCCAGCCCAGGGCCTTACTCCTCTCCTGTCCACTGGCCACCGGCCATGTGGCCGTTCAGGCGGTTGGAACCGTTACTGGAAGTGCTGAAAATTCCTTTTGTGCTGTTGGAAGTCACATCCTCCTCCTCGGAGCTGCTCTCCACATCACTGCGGTCATCCTTGGATACCTAAACATTGCCAATGGAATTGGGGAGTGGGAGAGGAGAAGGGGAGTTGAAAAATTGACAGAAACCAGCAGTTAAAAGGTTGTGTCTGTGTGATGAACCACCTTCACTGTGATGAACCACGTTCACTCACATCTACCTCCTACATTTGAGTCTGGCTCAGTTCAAGGTCCCAAGGAGCCCGTCACCACGTCAGGAACAAGACACAGACACTTTGTAAAGACAAGCTCCATTTTCCAAGTATTCTGTGAAAGCACTTCACTCTCGTTCTCACCAGATTAGATGACATTAAGGATCTGGTGTTGTTCTTGTCTTCCAAGGGTTCCTCTCTAGATCAGTTAAAGGCCATTTTTCTAAACTATTTTTTTTTTTTATCAAAAATTTCTCATGCCACGATCACAAGTGAGTCCAACGACCAAAAGCCAGGAATGTGTCAGTTTGAGAGAGAACATTTTGTCCTAAAGGGAACAGCTTTGCTATTTTAAAAATTAACCAGTTTTATTTATCACATCACTGCTCCAACAAAGCATCTCCATTTCTACAGCCTGTGCTTCATCTGGGACATCCCATTTAGGAGCAGGAGCCTGTTTGGACAGGGCATGGAGAACAAAGGCAGTGTCTGATCCAGCAAACACCTGCTCAGAACAGGAGGAGCCTCAGCCCAGGATCCAGATCTGCTTACAGAGCATGCCTTAGTTCAGAAACTGGCTGCAAATGCAGCTCCGTTTGACTTGCACGTGGGATTTTGAACCTTCCCAGGAGGAGTGTGGTGCCAGCTGCTCCAAGTGTCTGTCACAGCAGGGCAGCCCTGCAGAGCCAGAAGGGGAAGGGAAGAGCCCATAAACCTGGCCCTAGCTGCAGACACACACCTCGGGTGGTGGCAGGTGCCAGAACCAAACCTCCCCTGAGTGAGCTGGGCCTGGAGAGCAGCCCCTGCTCTGCCCAAGGCAGCTCCTCACTCTCCTCCCTGTGCAGCCTCAGTAACTCCATGTGCCAGCGCCCTGGCTTGCAGCTTTCTGAGGATTCCAGGATTTCACTCTGCTCTTTTGGAGTCAGGGTTAGGGCTCTGCAGCACCAGGAAGTGGTTGAACTCCAGGGAAGATCTGGCTGGAAGCCAGGTGAAGTTAATGATCTCCAGTAGCTTTTTGAATGTCCTGGCTTTTGCTTGGTGCCAGAACTTTTGCTATCTTTCCCCAATCTCCTGCTATACTGGAAGTTCAAGGGTCACTGGAAGGAAGCAGAAATCCCTGGACATTTTTTCCATTCTTGGGGGAGAAGTGACTGTTTCACTCCTTTTCACAAAAAGGAGTAAATTCCTCCTTCCCTCTCCCCCTCAGTGCGGTGCTGATGAGGAGCAAAGACAGAAATTGGAGTGTGTGGGTGTGTAAAAGCACAAAGTGAAGGTTGTGCAGGCAGGTGACAGCAGGTGAGAACAGACCCCAGGACACTGCTCTGACCTTTGGAAAAAACAGTTTTTTAGCACTCTGTCAGGACCAGGGAGAGAAGGAGAAGGCACCAAAGCCCCAAGACCAGGGCTCTGCTTTTCTCTTGGCCTTGACACAGATGTGTTTCAGTGAACAAACGGAAACACAGGTCACACTTACATGCACAGGGTGAAACTGTCCAGCTCCAATCTGGCACAGAGAAAAGGAGAAAAGAATGAAGAAGACAGAGCTTAGAGTCCTTTCTCTGGCTAGGTCACCTGGACAGGAGAGAACCAAGGAAAGGGAAAAGGTGTAGAACTCAGGATACAGAAACAGCTGCAGAGAATGAAAATCAGGCATTTGTAGTAGCAGCTGTGGGGAACAGATGAAGAGCTTGTACCCTGAAATCTGCTTGCCCTCAGAATCAACCAGAATATTTCTATTTTTCTAGGCCACATTCCTTGTGTAGGGACAGCTAAAGTCAAACACAAAATAATGCAGAGCTGTCAGAGAAACTCAGATCAGAGTATCAATATCTGATAAGAAAAAGTATTTGTGCTACTAAATCAGCTTTTTTGCTGGTTTCACAGAATCATGGAATGGTTTGGGTTGGAAGGACCTTAAAGTTCATCTTGTTCCACCCCTTGCCATGGGCAGGGACATCTTCCACTATCCCAGGTTGCTCCAAGCCCTGTCCAGCCTGGATGATCTTTAAGGTCCCTTCCAACCCAGGCCATTCTGTGATTTTTGACAACCAGCAAACCCCACTTCATCCCTGGGAGCACCTTCCCTGAGTGCTGGAGCTCACTGCCTGCACTGGCAGACAGAAGCCAGCAAAGAAGCACAATCCCCATCACATCCCAAGGACCAGCTGAAGTTGGGCAACATCCTGTATGTTCATCCTCTTGTCCAAAAGAGAGCCTGCTACCACCTTAAACTGCAGAGTGCACAACAAGAGTGTCATAATCCCCATTTTAGGACATTTGAATGTACTGGAAAATGGAGTTATTCCCCTGCATGCCAAGGAGAGACTCCCTCCCTTTGAGCACACCTGGGAACTCACAAGTGCAGAGCAATCAAGATAAAAACCACCATTTTTGTGAACTCTTGACACAAGTTCCTTAAAAACCAACATCAGCCCTCATTGAAAAGCCCAATTCCTCATAATTCTTTAATGGGGCTTGTAGGAAAGAGGACCCAGAAGCCTCCCTCACAGCCTTACCTTGCCCCTCACCAGGGCCTTGGAGGCCGTGCGGATGATGAGGTAAGACCAGATGACATGCAAGACCTGCAAGGTCACCAGGAGCCCGTTGAACAGCCACCAGGAAGGGTAGGGACCGATCAGCTCCCAGCTTTCAAACAGAGTCGTGTTCAAAATCCTTAAAGAGATCCAGAAACACATTTCAGATCAGCTGTGCTCAGCTCCAACTGGAGGTGCCAGGCCAGATGCACAACAGTTTGTGTCTCACTGAGCATCTGCTGCTCTGCTCCTGCCAGAGCCAGGAGACTGAGTAAAGCTCATTAAGAGCATTTGAACTGAGCAACAAAACAGAACATGTGAATGTGCTGCAGTTTGGTTACACACACGATCTGCTGCCAATTTTCTTCTCCAAAGCACAAGCATTTATTTATAACAACTTCACAGGAAGTGATGTCAGGCTGCTCTGGTCACCACAACAACCGTTAACGCCTTCCTGCTTGGGCAGCTTTCAGCCAGACTTAAAGATCAGAGATCATATCAAAAATAGTGTGGGCACAGGAGCAGGGCAGGGATTGTCCCTCTGTGCTGGGCACTGTGAGGCTGTTTCCAGTTCTGGGCCTTCACAGCAAGGGAGATATTGAGGGGCTGGAGTGTGTCCAGAGCTAGAACAGCTGGGGAAATCGAGGCTCAGGGGACCTTCTGGCTCTGCACAATTCCCTGAGCCGAGGGGGCAGCTGGGGGGGGTATCAGGCTCTGTTCCCAGGCAACAACAGGACAAAAGGAATGTGCCAGGGAAGGTTCAGGTTGGACATCAGGAGGAATTTCTTCGTGGAAAGGGTGGTGAGGCATTGGAAGGTGCTGCCCAGGGAGGTGGTGGAGTCCCCATCTCTGGAGGTGCCCAAGGAACGAGTGGATGTGGAACTTGAGGATCTGGGGATCAGTCACAGGCTGGACTCAGTGGTCTTGGAGGGCTTTTCCAATCTCAAAGATTCTGGGATCAGGAAGGAATTTTGTCCCCAGAAGGCCTCCCCCCCCCCTCCCTGGGTGCTCTTCTCTTCCCTTGGAGTTTTACAGATTCCTTTGGGCAGGCTGGAAGACAGAAAACTGCTTTTTGGCCCAAGCTTTGTGTTTCTTTCATTACTGTTTTGCTGTTCTTGTTGCTGGGAGTTATTGCCAGTCCTTCAGCAATTTAATAAACACTTTAGATTTTATGATGCAGAGAGGTATGGAGAGACCTTTAACAACCACATTAATTTCATACAGCTTTTAACATCTCACAAGAAAAGCAAAACAAGCCTTTCAAACAAGAACCAAAATCCCCCAAAAGGGAGCTCCAGAAGTATTTAACTCATAGCAAGTTTATGAAATAATTAAATGCAATTCCAGAGATCTGCTGATGTTTTACATTATTAATTAGTGAAGGGAATACATGTGCAGTGAAAACAGCACAGGGTCTGCAGTGCTGCTGCAGTTTGCCAGATTCCTCTGCAAAGCTGAGGAGTGACATTACAGCCAGTGGAAAACACATTAAAGATTTACAGGATGCTGAGCACTGGTGTGAGGTAAGAGCATCCCCTCATGACAGACAGCAGCTGCTAAAACAACTCTCTAGTTTGTGCTGGGAAGGAGCCTATGAAGAAATAGGATTTAAAGGTCTTCTTCATCCAGAGTCCTTTGGTGCATTTACTGGAAAATAAGCAAGAGCTTTAACTTGCAGTCAAAGCAAGTTTAAAAGATTAAGTTAAAGCAAGTTTAAAGATTACACTAACGTGAAAGGATTGTTGCTGCCTACCAGGCACCCAAAAAGAATGGGAATGCCAGGTGTCCCTGGTCCAGGAAATAAATGCAGGCAGCAAAGTGGTGTAACCAAATTGTCACCACACACAATAAATGGACAACAGCTCATTAACCAAAGCACTGCTCCAGGTCTGACCTACTGAGGTGAGAGCGAATCTCATTATGGGATGATTTTCTCTAAGCCATTTATCCAGGGTTTTACCTCCCAAGAAACCTCAGACCTATTTCAGGCTCTGAATAGTCACAACAAAAGGACAGGACTGAAGTGTCATAAGAATCAGAAACTGCAGTGATGACTAAGCCAAACACTAACAAAAATGACCTCAAGAGACTGTGCCTCACTTGTAATTATTTCTACAACTTCTTCAGAGAAGCAGAGGATCCTTCAAGCCTCTCAGGGCAGATTCTGGCTGACTCTGTCACCACTGCAGCAGGGGAGGGGCAGCTGTGAATGGGATTCTGGGCTCTTCTCCCAGTCCCTCAGCTGACTGGGGAGAGATTTCTTCATGTGCCTACTCAAACGTCCTGCCCCAAACAGCACTTGGGCCATGTGCTGCTTCAGGCTGCCTCGAGGGACAGCTGGAATGCTTGGGAAAAGTCTAAAACAAAGGCTCTGCTGAAAGGATTGGGAGAACAACCAAGACCTCCCAGATCCAGGTGCTTACCAGAAAGGGTAAATGCCCAGCCGGGTCACAATGAACACGACCCCAAAGAGCATGAAGAAAGCATCACACAGACGTTGGTACTTGGCATAATTGGCCAGTTTTGCAGCCTACAAGAGACAATAAACATGCAGATATAATTTCCTTTGTGTACTCCTGTAATTACCTGGCTGGAAAGCTGCAAGAAACTCTCAATCATATTTGTACAGTTTGGAACAAAGAGGGATTATTTGATTACTGTTTTTATACTGTTATTTATATAGTCCTACAAGAATAATGGGAGAGACTATTTACAAGGGCCTGGAGTGACAGGACAAGGGGGAATGGCTTCAAACTGCCAGAGAATACAACCACCCTGCCAGAGGGTGGTGAGGCCCTGGTATAGGTTACCCACAGAAGCTGTGGCTGCCCCATTCCTAGAAGTGTCCAAGGTCAGGCTGGATGGGACTTGGAGAAACCTGGGATAGTGGAATTGGATGATCTTTAAGGTTCCTTCCAACCCAAACAATTCCATGGTTTTGTGACTCTCAGCACCCAAGCAGTTTGGAGGAAAAGCTGACAAGGCAGGATCAGCAGCAGGAATTTCATGGCACATTTAAAGCAGTTTATCAAGAACAGGGATGTCAGCTTGTTCCCCTGAGATCCCACCAGCATTAGGGATGCAAAGATTTGAAAGGAAATTCACCTCCAAGAGGAAATCTGAAGCATCATGAAGGCACAGCACCAGAGTTCCAACCCGCACCATGTTATTCATGTACGAGAATGTGATGAGTCCAATCGTGGCCAAGTGATGGACGAACATGATCAGGAAGTCCTGGAAACAGGAAAACCGGGAGTGAAGATTCTTTGGTAGTCACACAAATGCAAAAGTTTGGAACAGAGCCACCCAACTGAGTCACTGGGGTCACAGGATTCCTTTGGTTCGGGCTCTGACTCCACAGCAACTGCAGCTCATCACACTCCCACCACCTCCACAAAAGCTTCCAGAAAGATCTCTCAGCTTTGGTGCTGCTGAAGTCAGAGCTCTGCCTGCTCAGGGATCAGCACAGTCTCTCTGGCACACTCACATGTGTACCTGCAGACCCCACAGATATGAATCAGAGGACAAGATGAGCCCTATTTTTATCTCCTTCTGGTTTTTTGGACACACTGAAGTCCCCTCAGCTCCTGGAACACATTTAATTGCTGTTACTGCTGTCAGTGACCAAGCCCTGCCAGGGCAGAGCAGGCACAGAACACCAGGTAAACCTAACAGGAAAAACAAAAAATGTTTACAGTGCACAATATTCAGGGCTGGTTCACGTTTCAGCCCCTGGCTCCCTTTACCTCACCCTGCTGCCATGGGGAATGTTAAAAGTCAAAATGAAACATTACAAACAAAGTCCCAGAAGCTGTCCATCACTCCCTGTCTGGAGCTCCACTGCATCCCATAGTGCCTCATCTGTTAATATTTCAGCACAGAAAAAAGCCTGGGTAAACTTGCTTTTTAACAGCCAATGCAAAAATTGGGATAATTTGCTGCTTTGCAGCTCATGTAAAGGAAGCAATAAGCCAGGATTTATTGAGGACTGTTCTCCAACAGCAACAATAACCAAATCCTGGAACGCAGCATCACAGAATTAGATTTGAGCATCTGCAACCACTCATCATCTGCTCCTCACACAGATGAGAAATTCCTTTCAAAACCCAATTTATAGTTTCCTTAGCATTTGCCATTTCCTCAGCAGCTTCAGCAAGGTACTGCTTTGAGCAGCTAATTTTCTTGCGAGCCTTCCAGTTAAATCTATTTTTAGGCAATGATTTGTTAAGTTTTGATTGGGAGGTATTGAGTGAAGCTGTTCTGTCCCCTGGATGGTGAAAAGAACTCAAGGATACACCAGGTCAGCCTTGCTCCTCCCTTTTTCTCAGTGTTCATAAGGTGTAAATGAGGAAGAAAACATAATTATCACTATATTTTGGCTTTTCTGGCCAGGCACACTCCCATTTTTTGTTAGTCCTACCTATTATTATTGATTTTATTAAAGCTATTGAGTGGTTAATGCAATTCTGGTTCATCTCACCTTCCTTTTAATGTCTGTAAACTGAGAAAACATGAGGGACCAGTAGAAGGCCAGCTCCAAGATATAGTAATAATAAAGCCTGGATGTTAGAGGCTGGAAAACAGACAGAGATAGTACAGTTACAAGACAAAATAATTCAAAAGTTACATTAAAATCACTTTTTTCATTCCTGCTTTTCCATCCCACTTTGTTGCTCCAGAATTGCTGAGGCATAAGTTAAATCATTCGGGTTTAATAAAAACAAGCTTAAGCAACAGGCATCTTACTCCAGGCTTACTCACACAAATATAATTGTGTGTTTGAGTTTTTATTCCAAAGGAGTAAATTCCCTTGTCAATATTTACAGCTCCTGCTGAAGCCTCTTGGAGTAGGAAAACCAGGTTCTGGAACTGTTGGCCTCTATACAATAAATAAATAAATTACCACTATGATTTTATGCCTTTTTCTCCCACTTTTAATAATCTCAGCAGCAAATAAACATAAAGTGACTAAGTCAGATGTATCTGAGAAAACCGTGCAGTTGACAAACCTAACCTGTAAAGGCACAAAGAGTAAACGGCAGAGTTTTAATCCAGTATCAATAACGAAAATAAAAACTGAAATTGTCCAAGAAGTTGGATAGGAGGTGTTTCTCTCATACCTGGAAAGGGTAGTTGTACCAGCATTGTCGTGTGTCCCAAAACCAGGGTGCCTAAAGGGAATAGGTAGGTTTTTATTATATATAAATAAGAAGCTATATAAAATCCCAGTTTGTACTGGATGTTTTCCTCCCCCGTCACCTGACACTAGAGCACTGCCTCACTGAATTTTTACCTTCATTTTGCCATTTACTGTAAAAAACCCTAGTGATTTAAAGTCTAATTTGTGCTGTCAATGTGAATTCTGCCGCAATGGAAATTTCTAGAATAATCATACAGCTCTAATAATAATAAAGACCCAAGGAGGTGAATATGTATCCTTTCAAGAGGGAAAGATAAAAAAAGGAGCAGGTCTCCATAGCAAAGAATACCCAAACCCCACCTTTTTTTCCCCAACATTCTGGGATAACACATCAAATAATTTTCTATTATTTCCAAAATGGCAGATCTGTACAGAAGCTTCCCTATAGGGTAGAGAAGGTCTTTAACAGAACCCCCAGGATCCCAAATCAGGGATCATTCAACTGCAACCACACGGAACAACAACGTGGGCGACAGAGCAACTCACCGTCCAGAGAAACCTGATTCCATAAAAAAATATACTGAAATAAAATGTAAATCTCCACCTGGAAAAAGAAGTAAAAAATAAACTTAGGACTTAGAATCAGCTTTTGGTTAGTATTTGTAAAATTAATTGAAATAATTAGGAAAACCCCCAATTTTGACACCTGAAAAGCCTTTGCCCACCTTCATTTCTAAACATTTCAGGCAACAAAAACCTACTGAAGAGTTTTCACACCACACGAGTTTGCATCAACAGCTAGGTTTGAAACTCAGGGTGAACATGCATTATTCATATGCTTTAAGAGATAACAAGCAAAGCTGTTGTCACCCAGAGGTATCCTAATGTATGTATTTTTCCCTCTTACCTTGTGGCTTTAGGTAGACAAAACCATACTGGGGGAAGAATTGAAAGTTACTGGAAAGGAAAGAAACCAGCAGAGGAGAAACAAGTCAGGAAAAAATACTGAGGTTCTACTGCACTACAGAGAAAACTGCAGGAGCTTGGAGGGAACGGGAACAAGGAATGGGCTGAAAAGAGAAGAAAAGGAAGCCAAGGAGTGTCTGTGACTGGGAAAGGCAGAAGGTGGGAATGGGAACGAGCTCTGGGTGGGAACGGGGCGGTGCAGGAGCGGCCCAGGGGATTTATGGCCAGTGTGGGCATGAGGACACATGGACAGGGACACACAGAGAGAGACAGGGACACATGGACAGGAACAGGGACACAGAGAGAGACAGGGACACACAGGAATGCCCACAAACATTTCAGAATTCTAAAACCTCCTTTAACTGCCCTCATTTGCTTGTACAGGAATTTTGGCCCTGGTCTGGAGGAGCAGCTGTCCCCAGGCCCAGCCACAGCTCTAAGATGAAGCCCCTCTGCACAAACATACATGCTCTCACAAAATTTAGTAAGGGTGGTGGGTTTGTCCTGGTTCCTCCGATGCCGAAACCAGCGCTGGATCTTTCGGACATCCCAGTCCAGCTGCTTGGACAAGCCTTCTAACCTTTTTCCATCTGGAGACTGAAGTAAGAAAAAAATGTCATTTCTCTCACTCTTAAAGCTACTTTCAGTCCTGCACTATGACAGAAATAATGCACAGATAACAAAAAACACACCAGGAAGGGATCACATAGTCTGAAAGCAAGAGAACCCATTGCCACAAATGGTGGTTCAGGTTTAACCTTCATAAGCCACTAATTACTTAATTACTCAGAATGGTTTTGGTTGAGCATTTCCTCACCTATATCATGAGTTGACAGCACATTAACACAAAGAATGTGACTGCTCTGTCTGTTAATTTGGGGAGAGGAGGTGTTAAAGTGTCCTGTCCTACCTGTTAAAGCTGTACATCAATTCAAACAGCTCAGAACTCGGGAGCAAAGCTAAAGATGTTTAAGGACAGCGAAACTTTCAAGTAAGAGTTGGTTTAACACAGTAGATATTTGTATATTCCATAAGGGCACTGTAGAAATTGTGTTATTGCTGTTATCACAGTTTATAAATGAAAATATATCTGAAGACTGAAGTACTTCCATGACAAATATAGATATAATATATCCCTGTTCTCCACCTGCCTGAATGAACACAAATGGGTTTATCAAAGTGAACCAAACCTGGTAGCTCCCTCTATAATTGCCCAGGAGTGAGAGAATTCAGACCAGCTCTGCCAGGGAGCTCTAACACTGAAAGATGATAAACACATTTTACTATTTGAGTTACATATCAACCACAAAAGCTATGCAGAATGTTGATTTAATAAAAAATAATCTGTTTGCTCAGCTGAAAATCAAAGTCAGAGTAATTTGATTTTCAGTGTTGAGACCGTGACTGTCCTGTCAATCCATCACACATTTCTCAGCACCTTTCCCGATTGGAAAGCACCTGCCTCCAAGGGGAATTCAGAGCTCCCAGCTCATGGCAGCAGCAGTGAAATCCTTCCCCCAGACTCTCCAAACCCAACAGCAGCCACAGCACACTGGGACAGTTAAAAATTTCATAAGCCAGACAAATTCTGCACAGCCTGTGACCTCCTGGGTTTTCTAAACATTAATTTCAAGGACATCCCCTGCATTGAAGTTCTCCCAACAAAGGGCATCAGATTCTGGGGATTCTACAGTTCACACATCATTCCAAATACCTCAAAACTTTAATGTTCTCACAAGGCAAGTTTTTTTAGGTATTTCCAGAATTTCCCTTTATCTGCTCTAGTAGATGAGGTTCAGCATCACCAAATCTCAACAGAAAACGTTCAATTTCGTTATCTTTAATGAAAATCTATTGCACTTATTCAATGTTGGATAAAATGCAATAGGATTCTGTAATTCTGTAGTGCTGTAGTCCTGTAAGCTTAAGGGAAAGAAGGAAACAACCCAAAGAAACACCTCCTGCCACCATTAAATGCCCTGACCTTCATCAGGACATCCTTCACTGACTGAACACCTCCCTCAATAATCCCCTTCCACTGACAACTGTTGTTCAAGCTTACAGTAAATGGCAAAAATGAGAGGAAGACATTCACAATAAAACAAATAAAATCAGAAAAGGAACTGAGCTCCAGAAAAAGAGGAACGCTTTCCCAATAAAGTGGAAGATGCTGGGAAATCTCTTATTAAACCAAGAATCCCCACTGTACAACTTGGACCAAAGGCAGGGAACTAAAGGAAGCAGCTCAGGCTTGTCTATCAGGGGAACTTTTTTATCCCGAAGAAGATTCCTCTGTGCACAAAACCATGGCTCAGGCACACAGGGAATTTACTTTGTTACCAGAAGGACGTGCCAGAGGCAAAGTAAAACCAGAATGAGCCCACATGTGGACACAGAGTGTGAACTGTGCATCTCAATCCAGAAAAGTGGAAGGAAAAGCCCCCTGAGACACTTCCAGGCCTCCATTCCCTTTGGAAGAGGTGGAATTTGAAATGTGACTCACCTTAGTGATGGATGTAAACACTTTCTCTAAAATTGCATTGGGCTGGGCTCTGTGAGGTCCACTGTCCTGAATGCCAAGGTTTATGGCACATGGCTTGGCAATAAACCTGCAAAAATTGCCCAGAAAGAGCTGGATTAAAACAAGATATTTATTTCTTTCCTCTGCCTAAATCACAAGGACCTGGATTTGTCACCAGCTGCAAAACCTGGTGAAAAAGCTTTTGAAATCTCCATTCCACCGCTCCCCAGGTGAAGAAATTTCTTTCATTAGTCCATATGATAACTTCAGACAGCACATACTGTGCAAACCAGGATGAAAAATTAAATCTTAATGCCTTTGGCTTCTAAGGATCTGAATGTGCTCCCCAGGGAGATTCTCATTCCTCAGCAATAAAACAATAGACTGATAGCAGTCTGCTGTGAACAGAAATGCTGGAGATGAAGCCCTAAAACAAAGCATTTTGTTTCCAAAATAGGCCTTGATGTCACATAGCTCAGAAAAAAGGGAAGTTCAAGTGACACAGCTCCCAAAAGCAACTTTTTTTGGCGGGGCAGGGTGAAATAAAGTGGCTTGTTTCCTTCAGGACAGACAAGAAGATGCAAGTTCCCCAGTCTGAAAGATCCCTGATATCAGGATCTCATCCATCCCATGGTCTCTGTGTATTCCAAACTGATTTAACTCTTCTGGATTTTACAGACTCTGAAAATAAGCCTGGGTTTGCAACTAAACAAAATGACCATGTTTGTGTCAGAATGGGCTCAGGGCTCCAATGTCTACATTACCTGACATTACCTCTCCTGCTGGTGGGCAAAGGGGGGGGTTGAAGGAGCAAAATTTAGTCTCTTTTAATCAGTTATTTTAAGGAAGAACCTGTTTCTCAAACCGATTTTGAAAAGAACACAACATTTGAACCATTAAAACCATTTTGCTTTCACAGAGAGTTTGTTTCAGAGAGAGCTAAACTGAAATTTCACATATCTAGGAGCCTCCCAGTGCCACCAAGCAGAAAATTCTGCTTTTTCCAACCACAATTGTTACTTCTCCTTGTGTTTAAAAGGAAAGATTAAAATTCAGGAGAATCGTGGCTCTAAGTGCTCCAAACAGTAATTATTCTCAGGAATACTCACTCAGTGCTTCAGGAACAAATATCTGTGACTGTGTTTAAGAACAGTCCCAGGTCATGGAGTTTTCCCTTGAGGAATTACAGATCAGCTTGTGACTGATCCCAAAGGAACACCCAGCTCTCAGAAAACACTAAACAACCGACAGACACTGTGGACTCAGGCTCCCCCAGTTCTTCCTATGTCTCTACCCAGGACCCCCGAGGTTAAAAATCCCTCCAGGATCATCGAGTCCAAGCTGTGCCTGACCCACTCCTTGTCCCCAGGCCACAGCGCCACATCCTTGGACATCTCTAGGTTTGGGGACTCCAAACCTCACTGGGCAGCCCCTTCCAAGGCCTGACCACCTTTTCCATGAAAAAATTCCTTCTGGTGTTCCACCTGACCCCTCTTCAGGGAGTGGTGCAGAGCCACAAGGTTTCCCCCAAGCCTCCTTTCCCCCAGGCTGAGTCCCTTTCCAGCTCCCTCAGCCTCTCCTTGTGCTCTAGACCCTTCCCAGCTCTGCTCCTGTCTCTGGACATGCTCAACTACATTTCAACACCCACAGCTTAAAAAAAAAAAAAGAAAAAAATTAATAAAAAAGGAAGGAGTGATTTCCTTTGAGCTTGGCTCCAAAGGCTCATGGCTTCCGCCATAATCCAGACCACCAGCCAGAAATCATGTCCTGATGTTATGAAACATTTGGCAAGACCCCCACAAAAATGTAAAAAATAGTAAGTATTAAATGGCTTTATACTCTGCTTTCCTACAGGATATACCACAAGTGCAGAACAGAAGTTCACATGTAAACTTGCAGGTGGAATATGAAGTGAGTGGTCAATCCCCTGCTCAGACAGGAAAATCCCAAGCTTTATTTAGGTAAACTCAGCAAGGTAAACTCACACTTCAAACTGCTGTGGCACTTCAAATTTTTGGTCCCAGAGTCGGTTTTCAGATGTGTTTTGCACTGAATCCTACAGTGACAAATTTCTGCACAACCCCCAGAATAGGAAAAAATGCTGCCCAGACAGCATAATTTCCATTCTTGGGGATATTCAAACTAAACTGAACTCCACAGGCAACCTGAGTTGCCTGAACACTGGCCTTGCTTTGAGGAGAGAAGTGGATGAGGTAGCCTTGAAAGGTCCCTTTTAATCTAAATGATTTTATGATTTTATAGAAATCTCAACGGCAACAAACTATACCCAAGGTCAACTTACTGCCACACCTTCCAGCAAGAAATTCTCATCACATAAACACTTCTATTAAACCTTTATCAACAGGGATCAGCTCACACCCCAGCCTATCCAGCCACCTCTTTCACACTAGTTGTTAACACACACTGATTTTAAAACAAATTTTCAAGTCCACAGACTCATATGTTAGAACAAATAGTTCTCAGGAATGTTGTGCTTCACAAAAAGGCAGAATCTTTCTTTATGAACATTCCAGTTTGGCTGGTGACTCCCTGTCACAGCTCTTAAAGGACGAACAATCTCCAAAGTGAGACTTATTGAATATGCCTTCTTTGAGTTTGTATTTCTAAGATTTAACCACCTCATTCCATAATAGACCTGATTAAGTAACATCTCAAATCACCTTTTACAAAAGGATAATCAAGGATAAAAAATGTGAAGCCAAATTTAGGGGCAGAAGTCATTCTTTTTGCTGACTGGACAAAAATCCTCACCCTCTCACTTTCCACTGTCTTTACCTTCCTCTATGAGTCCTGCCTCGACCCTACAGTCACAAACTACCCACAGACAAACTAATGATTATTTTGTCAATGTCATGATGTGAAAAGTAGTTTTTTAGTAGAATTCTAAGTAACAGAAATGTGTCAGTGTTGTAGCACAAAGCTCTTCCTCACACTGAGGAGCTACAAAAGGAGAAAGGAAACGGCTCAACCAAAAGAGTTGCACGAGCCTGTAATTCACATTCTGAGTCACCAAGTCCAACTGTGAAATGTGTGTCAAGAGAGACATTTGACAAAATCAAAGCCTGAATTGGGATAAATGCACCACAGGAGTTTATTGAGACAAAGCTGAACTTTCATGACATGTTCAAAGTGGCTGGAAGAAACAGAAAGGAGTTTATTCAAAGATATGTACTTTTAAAATAAACACACTAGAAACTGCCTGAGATGGGCTGTGACAATCTGCTTTCACTTTGGGACACCATTGAGACAGAGCTGAGATCAGGAACAACCCCCTCAGGAACCAGACCCTGGCCTCTGAGTTTTGCTCTGCAGGCTCAGGAGTTAAATCATCATTTGACTCCACCCTAAATTAACATCACAAAAGAAATTTCATAAACCAGGGAGACATTATCAGGACAAAATAAATGCTGCCTGGAGCACTGTGCCATCAGGTATAGTGCATCTTCCCCAACAACTCCAGGAAAAGAGAATATTCTGCCCCTCGTCTCCAGATGACATTTGGATTAGGAACCTCCCTATTATATTATTTTCATTGTGTCTCACAACCTCCTTTCTTTATGTCCTTGCAAGTACCAAGGTTTGGCCAGGATCAGCAGCACATGAAGCTGAGATAGGATTTGGGCAGTGCCATGTGTGTTCTTGGGTTCTTTGCACTGGTTTTCTGAAGCCTTTTTTTTTCCTAAGGGCAGAAAGACAGCATGGAGAACAGAGCCTCTCAAGTTTCTCTTCTCTTCTCTCTGCTGACTTGCTTCATTTTCTTCCATATTTGCCATATTTTTACTTCATCCTAACCACCTCTTCTTAATTTCTGAAAGCTCAGGAAAATTCACACTTCTTAAAGAAAACCTACAGAAAAAAATTCCCACTCATTTTAGTCCTGCAGCCTTTTTCATGCTGACAAATACCAATGGAATCATAGAATAGTTTGGGTTGGAAAGGACCTTAAAGCTCACCCAGTCCCACCCCCTACCATGGGCAGAGACACTTTCCACTAATCCAGGCTGCTCCAATCCATCCAACCTGGCTAATCTCTGCCCTTTCAAGGCAGAAATTTAAGATTAAATCATTGTTTAACAAACTACCTGCACAGCAATTGAGGGTGTCTTGGTCTGTTTCTAAACCTAAGGGTTTCCTAAGTAAGCCGCTTTACTAATTAATATGTCTGCCACCCACACACTGCCTGTGGCTGTGGCAGATCCACACCACACACGGATAAACCTGTGCCCCAGGGCTGAGTTCACATGTTTATGGATGCCCAGGTAAATGAGGAAACCCGTATTACACCTGTTTATGGGCAGAGATGAAGAGCCGCAGTCACATCCATCGTGCCTGAGACGAGAGAGAGCCACCAAATATTTAATAATGCATCAGGCCATGTGAACGAGCCCTATTTCCTCATCCAGGAACTCAGGGAAAGCACAATAAAGCACACACGGAAGCCAAGAGCGAGCAGCAGCCGCCAGCTCTGTCCGTCATCCCAGCGAGGTTCTCCTGGGCAGGAGCAGGGTAAAAGTGAATTCCTATATAAAACATGGGATTTTTCTTGGCACTACCTCAGCACCGCCGGAATGGAGGGGCCTCTCGTTATCCAGACCCAGAGCAGTGGAGCCCCACGGGCTTGTGCATGTCGCGACAGACACGACTCCCGCGACAGATCCCCGGGATTACACAATGTCCCCTTTCCACGCACGAAGGGCCTGGCGGAGGCCCCGAAGGGCGCGGGGGAGTCCCCGCCGAGCCGCCCCCCGGCGCGGCCCGGTGCTCACAGACCCCGGCGCCTCCCGGCCCCGCCGCCCCGGGGCCGGCCCCGCGCTCACCTCTCGAAGAGCAGCCGCACGGCGAAGATGCCGAGCGCCAGCGGGAAGGCGGAGAGAACGTGAGCGGCCCGCGGGTACTGCAGCCCGCTGCCCGGCGGGCCCGGCTCGCCGGCCAGATCCGCCCACGTTACGTTGTGTGGGAGCCAGAACCGCTCGTTCCAGAACCAGGCCCGCAGCGCCGCCGCCGCGGCCGCCGCCATCTTCCGCCTGCCGCCGCCGCGCTCCGGCGGCCGCCACAGACACGGGGGCGCGGCCGAGCGCCAGCCCCGCCCCGCCCCTCGCCGCGCCCATCACGGCGCCAGCGAATCGGGCGGCAGCCTCGCCCTCATGGGGCGGGACTTGAGGAGACCGCGCCCCTCATCGCCCCCGCCCCTCGGCTCGGCCCTGCCGCCGCCACACGGCCGAGCGCCAGTGACACGGCCGGGCGGGGCTGGAGGAGGCCGCGCCTCTCACTGCCCGGCCACGGCCCGTAAGGGGCGGGCTTGGAATACACCGCGCCCCTTTTTTGCATCACCGTTCTCCTCATTGCGTCGCCCGCCACGGGCTGTGCGGAGCTGGGAGGAGGCCGCGCCCTTTATCGCCTCGCACCGCCCCTCCCGCCGACCGCAGTTCTGGCGGCCGCCACAGCCACCAAACGAGGCCGGAACGAGGGCCCGGTGCTCACCGCCACACCTCAGCCCGCCCCTCAGTGCGGCCGTTGCTCACGGGGGTTCCGCCGGGCCCCTCGCGCGCGGCCGGTGATTCTGGAGCATGCGCAGTGCGGCGCCCCTGCGCTCCCGCCCGTGGCGCGCGCGCGGGCTCGTGAGGGAGGAGCGCGCGCACGCTCCCCCCCCCCCCCCCTGCCCCTCTCTCCCCTCCGGGTTCGGCTCCCTCCGGGAACAGAAAAAATAAAGTCACAGAAGCACGGAGTCACACAGAGCCAAGAAGTGACAGAACCACAGGGGCACAGAAATATACTGAGTTGGAAGGGAGCCACGAGGGTCATCAAAGTCCGGCTCCTGGCCCTGTGCAGGACTCCCCAGCAATCCCGCCACGTCACGGCCGTAATGTTGATGCTTCGCACACTGCTGAGCCCTCGCGGTTTCCACAAGCAGAGACGAATTTTAACTGGTAAGAGTCCTCCAAGGCAGCAAGACAGGGCAGCAAGCCATCCATGGTTAGTGTAATGTCTCTTTTGGCACCTGTCCAGTGGAGAATAGATTAAATGGCCCATTAAGCACTCAAATGCTATGATAACTAATAGATTCAAGGATAGAGCGATTTATGAACTAGTCACCTTTTTTTTAATCAATTACTTTATTTAGAGGTACCCAATATGCTAATCTCTCCTTGAAGGTGTTCAGTTAGATGCAGGCCTCTGTATGTCAGACTCACAAATGCCACAGATTTAACTAGAACTAATGATTTTCTGATGAAAGTCTCTGATAAGTGCAGCGAATATTGCTTCAGTATCATGTAACTGGGAAGACACAGTAAAATTCAATTGCGTTTCCTTAGAAACAAGCAGTTGGCATATTCCATAAATCCAAGTCCACGACAAATGATCTTCCCTCCCTTTTCAAAGAGCACAATTTCCAGTTAGAGAGATCTCTGGTTGCTTAGCAATTTGAGGAAATCTGATACTAAATACATTTTGTTAGGAACAGAGAAAGGTGGCAGCAGCTTGGGCTTCCACATCAGGTTTTTTAGTTTTTCCTCTGTACAAAGCAAACCTTACTTCTCCATTTAAAGGAAAATGAGCAGTAGGTTGTGGAACTGCTAACACCTTCTAACTAGGAAGCAGGCTTTTTCTCTTCTTCCCAATATCCATGTCATGCACATTTCCTCATGCTGCTGCAGAATGTTCACTGCATTGCTTCTAGCTCTTATCCCACTCTCTCCCAACCAAACCCACCTCAGGCTCAAGTGGCAATAACTTACCCTCAGTTGTCCTCAGCTGCCCTCGAGAGCCACCTGGAGCCAGAAATGGAAGTGAAAAATCCTTGCATGTCCTTATTCCTTTTGCCAGCCCTGTTCTAATCTCTCTTCAATCTGAGAGCAGAAACCGCTCATTTGAGTCGAGCAGCAAACCACGGATACACAGTGTCACCTAGTGGGGCACCCGAGCCAGCCCGGGCTGGCTTCCAGTGGGAGCACCAGAAATTCACCCATATTTTCTCTCCATTTTTATAGATGAGAGCAGTCCTGAAGATAAGGGTTTTAGGAGCTGGACTTGTCCCAGGAACCCCCAGAGGCTGCACTGAGTCCCCAGCACAGAAAGCAGAGGAGGTGGGGTCTGCCCCTCTGCTCTGCTCAGGTGAGACCCTACCTGCAGAGCTGCCCCCAGCCCTGGGGCCCAGCACAGGGAGGATGTGGAGCTGCAGGAGAGAGTCCAGGGGAGGCAGCAGGAGGATCAGAGGGATGGAGCAGCTCTCCTGTAAGGAAAGGCTGGGAGAATTGGGATTGTTCAGCCTGGAAAAGAGATGGTTTGAGATTACCTCATTGTGGCCTTCCAGTTCCTGAAGGAGCTGCAGGAAAGATGGAGACCTGGAGTGCCAGGACAAGGGGCTGTGGCTTTCAACCGCCAGAGGACAGGGTTAGAGGGGATTTTGGGAAGGAATTCCTTCTTTTTCCCTTTGAAACAAAACTCACCAGCCCAGGTTCCTGATGTCAGTTTGTAGGGTTCGCTTGGGTCTGTCAGGGCAGCACAAGTTTGAGGTTGGGAAAGCTTGGGTCTGGGACACACCCTTCGCCGTTCGGATTTTTTGGAGGCAGCGATCCACTCAGGCCACAGATGGTCATTGGAATGGATTTCCCAGAGGATGCCTCATTCCTGGAAGTGCCCAAGGCCAGGTTGGTCAGGTCTCAGAGCAACTGGGATAGTGGGAAGTGTCCCTGCCATGGCAGGGAGTGGAATGTGATGAGGTTTAAGGTCCCCTCCAACCCAAGCCATGATTCCATGACAATTCTCTGACCCTTTAAACACTTCCTCTTTGTGAAACAAGATGAATCTAGACTTCAGTTATAATGGAAATGACCCAAACTTTATTGAAGGTTTTGTCATTAGCAGAACTGTTAAGAAAGCAGAATATTTTACACCTCAAGAATCATTAAGATCTAATTCTCTTGAGAATACAGTACAAATAAAAGCTAATTAAAAAAAAGGGCCTCCTCCTCCCCCCATTCAAGATTTTATTATTTGTAAAATAATTGAAGTCAAGTTAAAAAAATGTTCTGATCTTCAACACTGGCAATTGGAAAGTGTCACTGATTCCAGAGATTTTTGCAATGCAGCACAATTTCACAGCTGTAAGGAAAAGATTTATGGCAGCTTGATAAAAGTAGGATTTCAAAGTGGTCAAAAGGCCTTAAAAATCTTATCTGCAGTTTAAAATTATGATTAAGAACTCCAAGTAAAAAAAGACAACCGAACAAACAAAAAACTCCACTTCAAATGCGTGTGAAATGCAGAAGTAATGCCCTGCAGGCTGCTCCAAAGTGTTCATTTGTCTTTTGCAGAGGCCTGGCAGCCAGCACAGCTCCTGGGATAGCACTGAAATACACATGGTCCAGCAGTGGGCACCATTCCAGTTGTGCAGGGACTCCTCAACTGATCACAGGCAGGTTTGAGAGAGAAATTCACATTGCACTCAATGGAGGATGCTTTAGTTGTTGGGACACTACACACAGAAATGCTTTTATTATTAAGAAAAAAAAAGCCCAGTTGTGCCCTTTCCATGTATTAAAGTGCATTAAGTGACCATTTTAAAGCAGGCCAGAAAGTCCCTTTGAAGTTGGTCCCTAAGCACTGCAGTAGCATTTGTAGTGGTACGGGTGGTGTGTTCCAGAGGCTCTGTCCCACACCAGCAGGGCAAGTACAGTGGAATTCCATAAACTGTTAGTGAAATAACTATTGAAGCTCAAAGGGAGAAGACAGAGAACAGCTCTGTTCTCGTGCTGGGGACAGACACTTCCTGCTGAAGCCATCCCACAGCCAGACACTTGCTCCATGCACCTAAAGAATTTGCAGGCTTCCAGAGTTTTCTAGCTGAGATAATTTGTAGGTAGATTCCCTTAATGCTGATGTGCAGTGCAGCATCACTTCATCCAGGAGAGCTGTTTGTTAAAGCTAAAAATACCCATTTCAAAAGGCCCAGCACCTTGCAGCAAGTTTTCTAGTAAAAGGCCAATTTACTCATCATCATCTTCATAGCAGCGATTCCTTTTGATCTGTTCTTCCACGGACAGATCTTCCATGTCTTCACCCTCCCAAAAACCAACGTCTTGGGATTTGCGATTCTGGTTTGGAGATGATTCCTTAGCGGTCACAGCATTGGCTAAGCTGGAATGTTTAGGAGAATTTGGTTCCAGGAGTTCTTCCTTTGGGATTTCCGGCTCCTCTGTAGCGTGTTCTTCCTCATCTGTGTCTGCATTCATCTGGCCATTCTCTACAACGTTATGCTCTGCTGTTTTGATACCACACAATTCCTGTTCTTCCTCCACATTTTTCTCCCCAGCGTTCAGGATGTTCCTATGCTCAACCTTCTTTTCCTTTTGCTTTTTCTCCATGACAACCTCTCTCTCCAGTTCCTCACTTCTTCTCAATGTGTCTCTCTCTTCCTTGGAAGGAGATGGTGAATTCTCTGTTTTATGGCCTTTAACAGATATTGTTCTAAATGAGGCTGCCACTGTGAAGGGGCGACTTCGCTCCTTCAGCGAGGAGGATCTTCTTAACTTCTTGAGATCCAGATCCACATCCTCCTGCACCTCAGGCTTGGAAATCTCTTCTTCTGGAGGCCACTTGGGTTTGAGTACTTTGATGCCCTCATCTAAGGCACTTCCTTGGATACTTTGGTCAGATGGAGGTGGCCAGGCAATCCTGAGCTTTTTTGTTTCTGCTGGTCTTTCTTCCCTTTCAGGCACAGCTGAAGCTTTTGCTTCCATACTTGCTGCCAGGACTCCCACTTTTGCAATCGGAGCATCCTCTACTCCCGGGCTCTGTGGAGTTTCTGGTGAATTCACACCTGGGACGGTTTTCTCCGGGGATTCTTCACATTCAGTTTTACCTGCCCACAACTCCTTATGCTGCTTGTGCCCAAAGCCCTCATCATAGTTGCCTTTGGACTTGAAGAGCTGATTGAAGTGAGGCTTGCAGTAGATGTTGCCACGCAGAGACGCGTACGTCCCGAGGCTGTTCAGGAAACACAGATCAAACATCAGAGCTCAGGGCCACCAACACCATCACCTGCTCCAGTTGTCTTACAGAAAATACTCAATTTCAGTCTTCCACATATTCAGAAAAAAGCTTACAGCCCTCAGGGTTTGCAAGGCTCTTTCTAGGAATTCTTTACAAAGCTGGACATTCTATTTTTCCCCATGTAAAATTACATTAAGAATTTAAAAACGGCATCAAGTGCACCAGGCAGAAGTAGGCCTGTGTTACCTCTCCTACACAAATCACTGGATTATGGTGATTTCCAGCTCAGCTAGGCCTGACTTCCCTCAGCTGGGACAGGAAAATTCACTTCCCAAAGGGCAGCCAGGGGAGCAGTGCACGTACCTGAGTTTGCTGTTGCAATAGGAGCAGCGGAAGCAGCTGATGTGAAACACCTGCTGGTTGGCAAAGAGCCTTTCCATGGGGTACACGGTCTTCTGACACCCAACACAGGTTTCCTTCATTGGCAACTGGAATTTCTGCAGGGGGAAGAGAAAGTTTGTTAACTGGGAAATACATCAGCTGCTGGGGACTTGGCGTGGGTTCATGCACAGCTTCCTGAACTCTCAAGAACTGCAGAGAGTTCACTTTCTCTAATTATGGTGCAGCAAGAACTGCAGAGAGTTCATTTTCTCTAATTATGGTGCAGTGGGGTCTGGTGGACAGTAAGAAGCTCTGACAGCCCCACAGAATTGCTGTGGCTTGACAGGAGCCAAGATTTCACCCCAGTGAATCCCAAATGAAGCATCCCACATGCTGAGCAATGGTTGGGAAAGAGCAATGAGAGCACTAAAACTGTCCCCCAAAGCTGTCTCATCCTTTCCTGCAACCTGTTTTTATTGGTAGGAGAATGATGAAGCATTCCAGTTGATTGCAATCAGTGTGAGACTTACCAAAATAATAAAAATAGTGCAGAAAAATAGAATCATGACATGGTTTTGGTTGGAAAGGACCTTGAAAATCATCTAGTTCCAATCCCCTGCCACAGTCAGGGACACTGTCCACCAGAAGACTTGAAATAGCCTCAAAAGGTCCAGGGTGGGAGAGGAAAGGAGTGAAACAGGCTGCCCAATGGTTTGAAACGTTCCATTTTTGTTAAATCTTTTCTCTCAAAGAGGAGGAAATAGCCTCAGCACCAATACAACAGCAGGAAACACTCCTGGCTTCACTTGTAAACAATTCCAGCTCAGCTTTCAGGACTCACAGCCCCCCAAACTTGCTCAAGATTCAAAGTGAGCCAAGCTTTGAGGTTAAACAGCTAAAATTCCTATGTGCTTATTGAATTTCCTGAGGGTTTAGTGCAAGGATAAACTTGAGCACTGAGGAGTTGGGTGTCACTGCTGTGCAGCAATGACCACAGGTTTGTTTCTAGACAGCATCGAGAAGCAAGAACATTGTCCATGAGAAAAGGTCAGTGGATGCCATTTACTTCTTGAAATTATTAACACTGGCCAATGGGGACAACATTTTACAGGATAAATTAAATAATACAACATTGGCATTTTGAGGCTGCATGTTGATTTAAAATGATTTAGCAGCCCAGCCTCCACTCCAGGGTGTGCTCAGACATAATTTGTAAGTGTGGCTTTTCCTTGGCAAAGAATTACCTGCTACAAATTTACAAAAAGCTTTATGGAAAAATCTGATGGCTAAAGAAAAAGCAGGAAGGGCACAGGAAGACATAATCACAGAAATTTATTTATAACAGTCTAGAAACAATGGTTAGGAATGAAAGTTCCAGCATGTAAGGGCAGATTGCTGAAGATGGAGCCAGCTCAAGTCACTTTGTCACAACCATAAAGTTTGCTGCCAATTTAATTCCAGTTTAATATGTATTTCAGGGTTTCCAGGCATTGCTTGAAGTTACAGTAAAGTTCTGTGACAATAGCTTCACTAACAAAATGCAGAATTCCTTTTGAAAAAAAGAATCCACACTTTCTAGGTGCTGCCAAAACTCTGCAGCTTGAGTCACTAAACGAAACCTCAAAAAAAAAAAAAAAAGATTTACAGATGCAAACAAAAATCTAATCACCCCTGCTTGCCATATGGAGCAAGGCAGCAAAAATTCTCTTGCCCATCGAAAAGTTTTCTCCCTGAAAGCTCAGTTTGGTACAACAGTGACACTTTGGTGACACAACAGTGCTGGCACGTGCTTCTGCAATCACATCCCCATCCAAGGAGAGGGACTTACTTGCATACAATGAGCCCTATGTCTGTGGAGAGGCGTTTTAGGCTGTGAAGAGACAAATTCCTTTCCAGGACACTACAAATAGGAGCTACAGGAGGAAGATGAGGCCCAATAATTATAAAAAGAACTTGAGAGAAAGCGGAGAGTTGAGCTCACATTAGGAGAGAAGCAGAAGGCAGGAGGAGAGGTTAGGAACCAAGAACAGGAGACAGAAGCTGGAAGAGACAAATAGGAACCTTGCATGAATAAACAGAAGCTTCTGTCTCACACAGTGCAGCATCTAAAGCAGTGAAATGGTTTTGATAATATCAAGAGGAGCAGAGAGCACCAGGACATGCAGGTTTTTTGTCACAGCCTAGGATCACACAGCTCTCACTGGCAGTTGAATTTCCCATACTGGCATTTCTCCCTTGCACACTGGGATCTCCCCCGTGTCTGAGCCCAGGGCTGTTCCTCCCAAAGATGGGGAACACAACAAAAGCCCAGTTGTTTCCTTAGGAGTGAGCCAGGAAATGTGTGGCAGCCCAGGGAATCAGCATCCCAACCCCAGGCTGCACATGTGATGAGCAAGTACAGCCTGGCCAAAATGTCCAGTGCTGCCATTTGTCCCAAAGTTCTCCATCTGCTTTATGGCTCCCTAAAGAAACTGTAACATCAAAGACTCATTACTCAGAAAGCCAAACCTGATTTTTATAGTCAGGCATCACAGTGCCCTCACTATAAGGTTACTACCAGTTGCAGTTGCCTTGGGAACAGCTGGAAGAGGTGCCAAAAAAAGCCAAAAAAGCCAAGTCCCAGCTTGCTGAAGGCTCTGAAGATCAGTAGCAGGACCTCAGGGCCCATCTCCAGGAGCACAGAGAAGCCCTGAGCCCATCCCCTGCTCAAGCCCCTCTGAAGGGAAGCAGCCTCTCTGTCACAGGGGTGCAACAGAGACCAGCAGCTCCCACCCAGGCTCTGGAAAAAACTCAATTAAGTCAGGGTGGAAAAATGCCTCAAAGTGCCCTCACAGTCACACTCTGATGAGGATGGAGCAGGTATTGATGCAGTTACTGCCAGGCCTTTATGCTTCAGCACATTTTGGCTTTTCAGGGTTAAACAGTTGGTTTTAGCCTTCAGCAGAGACTGAAGAGCTGCGTTACCTTCACGGCTTTCGGTGGGGAGGCCTCTGTCTGCCCAGCTGCTTTAGCACCAAGGTTCTGCTGCTTTGAGCTGACAGATTTCTGAGCTTCTGCCTCCATCTCTGACTGTCCACCTGAGGGAGCAGGGGAGGGAGAAAAGGCAATTACAATGGCTTTAAACTGTGGGCAGCTTATGCTCACCACACTCCTCAGAATCTCAGTTAAATGGTGAAGGAGCTACACTTTAAAGTGTTCAATCAGTGCAAAAGGAGTTATAAATGCCTTAAAATTACAGCTGCAAATTAAATTCTAAACAGGAAATAAATTCTTATAAAGTCTGTGTTAGGCACAGGACAGATTTTTAGTACAAGACAGACTTTATTAATTAATAATTTGATAGGGCTCACCATGGCCATCCTCCAGCAGACCAGAGTGCAAAGACAAGCTGTTTTCACCTACAGAAACCTGCAAGAGAAAAAAATGAGACTATGAGAAGCTCTGACCTTCTGAGATCTGAACAGTCTTGGCTCCAGGAAGGCACCAGGCAGTTTGAGCAGGGAGACAGGGCTGAGTGGCTCAGGAAAGGAGTTTTGTTTGAGGCACAAAAGGGTCCAGCCGAGTGTCAAGAGATTCCTTCCTACAAGGCAGACACCCTCACAGGCTTCACACATACAAACATCAGATTTCTGTTTCCTTGGACACCTTTATTAACCCTCAGAAATCCTTGTTGATTTGCTGAGGTTCCTCCCAGGTTTTCTCACTTACAAATCCCTTGACCCCAAGCAGCACATCTCGTGGCTCCCTCCAACATTTGACCAGTCTCTGACATTCAAACATTCAGCAGAGACTGTGCACTTGGAAAAAAAAAAAAAAAACCAAAACAAAATAACCCCAAAAAACAAAGTCTGCTACAGATAAAGCTTTTGATGTATAACTCTTTATTAAACTTGGCACTATTGCTATTAAATCAAATAGCTTTAAGTAGCTACACTGAGGAACTAAAGTACTGTAACAAGATTAACTGCAAATCATCACTAATTCACCTTAATGATTGAAAAGTCCATTGCAAGCAACTGAAATTTGTAAATTAATGGGCAATGAGGAGGCAAGCTACATGAATTAACATCCTCTGGGCTGCTGAAACCAGAACCGGACCCCAGTGTCCTGGGCAGAGCACAAACATGTTCTGAGGCTGCTGCAGCCACACATGCCTGGCCACTGAATGTGCCACGGGTGCAGTGTGAAAAATGACAGAGTGAAGTGTCTTTTGTTTCCTTTTTGCCAGAGGATTCCCATTTCTGACACTAATGACCAGCAGTTTTAATTAGGCTCATTTCCAAGTTCACCACGTCCCTTCCAAAGGACAACCCTGGCTCCCAAACAATGCTCCATTCAGGTTCTCATTGCACCTGGACACCTCAACAAGGAACTCTGCAATTACAGCTGAACACAAGAAATTTTATTCAAATCTTGCATTCACAACAGGGAGATATTCTGACTTAACAGGTGCTCTTTTAATTAACTCACCTTGGAGCAGGAAGCAGCCTCGACCAGTCGGGCATGAGGCTGCTCAGCTGTCTCTGAGGAGCAGCTGAGAGCAAAGATTTGGCCCCTTGCCCAAGGAAGGCTGAAAAGCTCTAAAAGCCCTCCTGGCATTAAGCTGCCACGTGTTCAGCCTGGGTGGAATACACAGTACCCCAATTATTATTCAGCTACTTTTATCCCGTCTGCTGTCCCCAGCTCAGGGAACAAATGCTCGAGTCCAGTTTACAGAGTCTCAATTTATAGCTGGAGCTCAAAACCAGGAACAAGCCCAAAGTGCCATTCTCAGTTACCCTAAAATTTAGCCACTAAATACAGAAGAAACAGTGACAAACTCCTTTGACTCGGGTCATACAAAGCTGCTCATGTTTTTTGTTTTTTTTAATTGGTGTGGATTTTTTTGTTTTTAAAAAACCCACAATAACAAAAAACCTACTGAGACAGAAAAACTCTCCCAGAAAACTTATCTCTAGACAGTCTCTTCCACAGACATTTGTCTTTGTAATTCAGAGACAGTCTGAAAAGAACAATTTTAAAAAACCAGGAATTTTGCAGCATGTAACTAATCTGCATCAGCTGCTCATGTTCAGTTCCCAGATGGCATGTGGAACATGGAACCAGAGTATCAGCTGTGCTTCCACAGCCAGTTCCACTTAAAATGAAGCCCTTGATCTCCAGCAGCACAGACATCTTACCTTCTCCCCATCCTGCCAGGAACTGGAGTCCTCAACTGGTGCCATATTCTCCTTCTGCCCAGATTTGTAATTCTTGAGTTCACTCTCACTGGCTTGAATCTCACTCTATAGGACAAAGCACTGGAAAGGTGACAGGTTCTTTTCCCCTAAGAAAATATTTGCTTTCTATTTTTCTTGAAATGTTTTAAAAACTGTTTTTCTAGTATGTGGAGTAATAATTGAAGGAAGGGCCATAAGAATGTGCAGTCACTTGTTAAGTGACATATTCTAGTGAGGGAACATGATTGTGCTGTAGAATTTTATTGTGATCTAAGGTGGTACTGTAGAATTTTATTGTGATTAATGTGGTAATGCCACTGTTTTCCTGAGCAACCCTTTTCTTCCAAATTCCTGTTTAAGATCAACTCCTAAATATTCAATCCAAGCTCAATCTGCATCTTCATTTTTGCGAAAAGTTAACTTTTCACTTGGAATGACAATTATTTCCAGACAAGCACTGCCTAAAGTACAGTGTAATTGCTAAATATGACATTAAAGCAAATCCCACATTTGCTTCAATTCTAGTCAAAACCCTGACTCTGTTTTCCTGAGATTTTTGTTCTTGATAGACTGACTGAAGACTTTCACAGAAGGATCTTTCAGACTTTAAAACCAATAAAACCCTGTGAAACCTCGTGTTTCTTTCATTGCCACAGGACACAAGACCATTGGAAGCCTCATGATTTTCACAAGGCGTCTTCTCTGGAACATGAAAGAGGAAGAGCCAAATGCCAGCACCAGCATCTTCCTGCACTTGGAAACAAATCTCCACAAAACCAACCACATCCAAGAGGTTTGTACCAAATGTTGGAATTTTAAGGCTTGGATCTCTGGATCTGCTCTCCAGCACATTTCCATCCCCTTCCAACACACAGACCTGATTGTTCCTCTTCCCTACTCAAACCAAGAGTCCATCAGGTTTAATCCAGGCCTTATTACATCCCAATGCCCTAAAATAGTTGTTCCCAAGAGAAATTCTGGCTGTCCTTTGTAGCCCAGGTGTGAGAAGGGCAGCACAGGCACCACATTTCCATGGCAAAAATGCCCTGGTTGCTTTGCCAGCAGGGAAGGAGAAGGTCCCAAGGTCAGGGCTGCTGTTGGAACAGTGGCACTGCAAACACTGGCCTCAGGAACCCCTGTCTGCTCCACCTCACACTGCCCTCATCCACATGCCAGGTCAAAATGGGAAGGGATTGTGCCCAAATGGGGCATCCTGAGAGCATCAGGCTGGGCTGACACTAAGCCAAGAGCACTGGGGGGCTGCAAACAGGAGCCTCTGGAGAAATGGCAAATCTCAAATTTAGTTACTCAGCCACCACTCTTAGCCCCAAACTGGAAAAGGCAGCAGGAAACGAGACCAGGTCAGGCACAGGAGGCAGAAATGGGCAATTAGGTTAATCAGATTTGTTGCAGTGGCTGCAAGGACTTTCCATTCATGCAGGGAGGGTTTTACAGACCCTTCTCCCACAGCTGGGGAATCCGACCCATGTGCAGATGAAATTCAGGGATCTTTTGAGCTCAGAAGAAGCCCTTGGCTCTCCACAGAGACTCCTGGAAAGCAGGCTCTCATTTCCAGGGCAAGTTTCCCAACTTAAAAAGGCCTTTTCTCTTCAAATCTATTACTCTGGTTAATAAAAGTAATACTTGAGCAATATAAGTTCCCATCATTCAGCAAAAGTATCAGAAACTTCCAGCAAATGTACCTAAGCAGTTTTTAACAAAAGCTGAGATTCCTGAAACCTCCTCAGCTGTAACACTTCTTTAATTGTTCAGCTCCTGGTCAAATATTTGCAAGACAGGCAGAGGTTCATTCACTGCAAGAGTCTAATTGGATTCAGAGAGTGCTGAGAAATCCTGAAAGGAGGTGAAAAGCAAAAGTAAGGAAAATTGACTGGAGATCCAAGTTCTGAGCACTGTGTGACACACAAGTCACTTCACCTTGCTGTGCCTCAGTTTCCCACAGCTTAGAGCTGCTGGAATTGAGATTTCTTTTTTAAACAGAAACAACAAACCTGTAGAGAGCTACAGACACTCAGAAAGAAAAAGAATGTCAGCTATGCTTCAGAAGGACCTTGGTCAGAGTGCCAGCAATTAATTCCTTGGAAAACTTTCAACATTATTCCAGGAAGATGCAAATATACTTATTTCTTCTTGCAGTACATAAAGGCAACTCTTCATGGGCAGAGAGTTATTTCCCAAAGAGAATGGTATTACCCTCAAACAACCTGGTTTCCTTAAGATCTTTCCAGTCTCAGGCTGGGACAAAAATTCACTTCCACCCAAACCAAGACTTACCATGGGAATGATGCCTGAGGAAGTGCCCTGCTTGGACACAGCTGCCTGGTACTTGGCCAGCCTGTCCTTAATTGATGTCTCTGATAAACGGGGCATGTCCAGGTTCTTCCTGAGCTCTGCCTTGTCTGGGCTGAGTCCTGGACTGCTCTCTACAAGATACCCTAGTGGAAAAAAAAAAAAAAAAAACAAAAAACAAACGTGAGTAACAGATAACTCTCAGAACACTCACCAAGATCCTTTTTGGGGAGAATAAACACATTGCCTTTCCCTCCAAGATCATGCCAGCGAGGACACAATGTGCATCACTAAGTAGGGAGACCCAAGAGAACAGCTCCAGCTGTGCCAGCCATTGGTGGAAACCCCAAAAGATTGCAAATGTTTGATAGAAAAAGGTCTTCAAAGAGATAAAAATACATAGTTTTGTTTAAGTCACAGCTCACAGTAGCTCCCTGTGTCTGGCCAGGACAGGAGGGATGAGGATTGAAGCAAGGAGGCAGAAGGAACATTGTCTGTTCACTGCTTCCTAAATTCCCTTGACTATTAAAACTAATTCCCGAATTGAGACAGGAAAGAATGGGCTGTATTCCTTAACTTGGTTATTCCCTGTGCCTTGGTTTCCCATGCTGAAGAGTGGAATGGTTTAAAACTCCCAGCAAGGCTTTATTAATTAAACAGGATGCTGATGGACTTTCCTGCGGCTTTGGAAAGGCAAAAGTTATTTCACAGAATCCTTGAGCCTGGAAAAGCCCTGCATGACCAACAAGTCCAGCCCCTGACTGATCCCCACCTTGTCACCCAGACCAGAGCACTGAGCTGTTCCTTGGACACCTCCAGGGAAATTTCTCTTGTATAAAGCAGATTCATCTGTTAAACAAAACCCAAACCAAGCCACCCAGAGCCCAGCCCTGAAGTTTGCTGACCTGCTGTGCTGTGGCTCCTCTCCTGGGCGCTGTCCCAGTCCTCCAAGGAGAGGCTGTGCTCCGAAATCCTCCTGCCCACGGCCGCCCTCCGCGGCTCCCGGGGGCCCTGCTGGGGACAGAGCCTCCCGTCAGCTCCTGGCCACACAGGGATTGCTCTGGCTAATCCCCCGAGAGGCACAGGTGTCACTAGCAAATCTGCTTTATTGCAATAAACAAGTCTAGCAGGCAACATCTTATTTAACCACTATGAAGTTTGGTCACAGAGTACCTGACCCTCTGTCACCTGGGAAACGCTTTCTTGAAGAGGTCAGTCAATACCCTTTGGAAGTTCTCTTGGTTTAAAAAGAGCACAAAGATCAGATTTTTAGGTCGTTCCCACTACATATACGAAACTTCAGTCTAGATTTTTGCATTTCATGCAATTTCTGTTGAAGCCAATAGTCACAGTCATTGTACGAAGATTTAAAATCAGAAAAAGAATGCAAGGAACCACTTATCCAAAATCTACATTCATTTTCAGCCATGGAAAAAAGGAATCAATAGTATTGTAATGAAAGTTATCTAGAGTTATTTGTTTTGATTTTGTTAGTTTATACATTTGGTACCAAATAATTCCCTAATTAGATCTGATAAGGCTGAAGCTTAAGCATGAGTGTTAGAGATAAATATTCTCAGATCTCCAGGATAATCACTCTCTGCTGCAGAGCTGGACAGGGTGTCCTGGTACCACCACACAGATGCTCTGGCTGCCTCAATCAGATTTTATTCTTATTTGTTGAGACCACCTCCCCAGAATCTAAATCTCAACAAAAGATAGCACAAAAATAAATTTCCGCAGCTTTGATAAAAGTTGTTGAGCACAGAATTAAACTGGACTCCAGCAAGGTGGGATGCATTCTCAGCTGAAAGTCAGCCTATAAAATCCTAGAAGGTGCTGGACCTTTGTTCTCTCTCTAGGAAGAGTTAAATCACAGCTGGGAATTCAGATTGAGGCTAACGCAGAGAAAAAGGCAGGTTTGGCAAGATGCTCCAACCACACATTCTCCCTCAGTTCCAAAGACTTTCTTATTTGCTGGTCACCAAACTGAAGGAAATTCCAAAGTTTTATTTTTTGCAGAACTGCAGTGTAAGATAATCACTGTGAAAAATCAGGCTGTTCTCCATACAAACAGCAACTTCACCAGGAAAGGAAAACGCAGCTGGGAAACAACCTAATTTTCCATTAGCACGGGAAATAGTTTCTATTTCTGTGGTTTAAGACTTTGGTAACTTTTCTTACTGGAAAAGAGCTTTAGCTCTGACAAGTCTTGTGCTGACCAATAGGCCCAGGTCTGGGAGTGCTGCACACTTGTGAAGACTTGCAGGTCCCTCATTGAACAAAAAACTGTTCTTAGAGAATTATTCAGTCCATGTCTCCTTCAACATCACCCTGAGCCCACGAGTCTGGGGTTCTTGCAGCTCAGAAATTCGGGGTCCAAAGGGTCCATCAGGAAAAGTTCAAAGAGCAGAAGCAGCTGGAGAGCTCCAAGGCACCCCTGCAGAGCCCTGCCAGCTCCTGCCCTTTGCCACCTCACACCTGCAGGGGTTGCAACTTCACCTGAAGAGCTTTTCTGTGCAGAGCTTCAGAACACAGAGTGAAAATCCCAGTAACAACCAGAAGGCAAAAGCTTTAGAGGTCAGGGGTATTTCAGAAAACCTACAAATATTCAGTAGATCTACAAATATCCTACAAATACTTGTAGGTTTTATATCAGCTTTATCTTGGTGGGAAAAAAAAGGAAAAGAAATGTTTAACAGAGAAGATGAGGGACTTTCCACATTACAACTGATGGACTGAGCAACTGCAGGGAATCAGCAGGATCATGGAAGGTAACTCCTCTCCCATGGAGGAAGCCCCCTCAGGGATTTGTCACTCTGGGCCACAATTCCCAGGGCACAGCTGCTGCTGCTTTGGAAAGCAGACAAAATATTCCTCGTGTGTGGAAAGCCCCAGGTTCTGCAAGTGCAGAAGCACCGTGAGCACGGGTAAAGCTTCGCCTGGGGCACAGAGTTGGGCAAAAACCCAAATCAAGGTTACACCTATTTCATTACAAACCACCTGTGCCAGGTATGACCCTGCCATGAAGTCACCTACAGCCACAGCCAGGTTTTGCCTTAAAGGAAAAACACAAACCAGCCCGCAGACAACTTTTTCAGAAATGCTGCAGCTCTGATCCTCCTCCCCACTGGGTGTGCTTTCACTATCTCTTACAGGAAGATTCCTTTGAACATCAGGTCTTTTATCAGTTCCAGTCTTTGCTTAGTGCTGAACCAATCCAGGCTGCCAGTGCCTGCCCCTAATGGGATTAGAGCAGTTTGTTTCCATGAAAATGCAATAAAAGATCTGCCTCCTATCTATTGCAGAGCAAATAAATGAATAAATGACAAGATTTAACTTATAATCCTGAAGATGAGAGTAGGTTCGTTTAAAGGGGGAGATGGAATCAGGAAATCCAGGCTCTGACCTGGATCCCTGCCCAGCAACCGTGGAAGTTGATTTATCAGCACTGCCACGAACCTCCAGCCCTGGTGCTGCTTAGTTCACACACAGGTTTTGCCAGCAAAGCTCTGACAGCACCAACACATCAAACCTCCAGTAAAATCCAAGGAAAACTGCCATCTCTCAGCTGAATTTACAGTTGGACTCAATGACAGAAAGGAATTTTCCACCGAAATGGTTCCATGAAGCCTCGCTCAGGAAAAAGCACAGGAAATAGATGGGAGAGGCAATGGCAGAGCTGCAGTGCTGTCGTGGCTCTCACCTCACTGAGCCACATCTGGGTCACCGCTGCTCCCTTCTCTGCAGGGACCCACCCAATCCTCCCATTGCAGATCAATTCCCAGAACCAGGGATGGAATTCCAAACACGCTCCCTCTCCCCCACACATCCGAACTTCAGATCACTCCTCTTCCCTTCTACACAACAGATTAATTTGGAATAGGGATTTTGAACCAAACCCGACCAGTTTTGTGCCTCCTGGATGGTGTTTACTGGGTCTGGTTGGTTTTCCACAGTGTTTGAATTGCTAAACTTGACAAACTATCAGTTTCAGATTCACTCATCTCCAAAACAATTTATTCCCCAGGCTGAGATAAAGTTACTCGAAGCCCATCTGCAGAATTCCTGGGGAATTCTGAGTGATTAATCCTACAGCAAGAGTTCAGGGAAGGTCAGTCATGGGCAGCTCTCATATCATGACAAAGACTCCAAAAATTCAAGTTGTGAAATGACTTCACACAGACCCAAAATCCCCTTTAACAACGAGCTGCTCCTCTGAGCCCTAAATTGTTACACATTGAAACAACTTTTATCCAAAATGTGTTTGCTTTAGTCGATACTTCAAGAAAACCAGCCGCAGGAAAACAAAGCCAGGAGGAGAGGAAACTATGAGAAAACTGGAAAATCCACCAGCATCGAGGCCTCGGGACTGTGTTGCAAGTCCCCAGCATATGCAACTCATTTTGGAGTTAAGCAATTCCCCCCGGGACACGCCGGCTGCAGTCCACATGCGGGATCAGATTTCATGAGCAGTTGGAAGAAAAATGCGAGCCCTGAGCATTTGCAAGTCAAAACTAGCGAGGGCAGGAGCTGCTCTGGCCATCTCGGCTTCCTTTCCCCTCAGTGAGATTTCTTTTTTTTTTCGATAGGAAACATTTTGTAAGACACAAAGATGAGGGAAGAGCGAGGAAAGGATGAGGGTATTTCATGATATGCGTGTGTGAGAGTTTGTGCGACTCATACTGATACAGATACCAAAAACTCTCACTTCTTAGTGCTTCATCTCGACTGCAACAGCCCTGATTGCTGAGCTCACTTCAAACTTCCTTTCCATGTATTAAAAAACACATAAATACCTATACATGCATTTTATCCCATTCACATTTGCATACCTCATTGTACTCTTCACACGAGACACAAATAATCCCGATTTACTTTACAAAACGTAATAAATTCCATACTTTTCCCTTCTTCCACTGAACCCTATCAAAAGCAAATTCACTTTACTCCAACGGAGCAATCACGAGCTGCCACAACCCCGAGCGCCCCACACAAATTTGCGCGGCTCGAGTAAGTTACTAACACCACGATGTTCTGCTTTCACTAAAACAACCAACACAATATTTGCAGAGTCAATAGCCGGAGCCACTCCCTCCCGGGATTTTCCCGATGCCGCGGAGGCAGCAGCTTTAATTTCTCCGAGATTTGGAGGGGTTTTCTCCTTACCTTGGACTGAGGGGCTTCACCCTTCTCGAACATCATCTTCAGCTTGCTCAGGGGCACGTTGTACTTCTCGATCCTGCCCGGGGACTCCGACCTCTCGCTGGCCTCGGGCTTTTCCACGCCGCGGGGCTCTCCGCCGCAGTTTTCCATGCTGCCACCCTCCCGGCAGCGCCCGTGGGGCTCGGCGCTGTCACCCGCGGGTCCCTGCGGATGGCCAGGGGCAGCTCCAGCCCCCGCGGATGGCGAAGGGGTCCCGACCTTGTGTCTCACCTCAGCGCAGCCGCTCCGCACCGTTACCCCGGCGGCCGCGGGATTCTCCCACTTCTTCTTCAGCAGGCTGAGGTTCCCCCTGGTGAGGTGAGCGGGCAGATTTTCCGCGTTCTGCAAAGGACAAGGAGCTCGCTGCAGCTCTCCGCTTCCTTCCCATGCGGGAGGAAGCTCAGCAGCGATCCCCGCTCCCGGCCAGCTGTGAACGCTTCCAGCTGTGCCACATGGAGAAAGCATCCAGGACAGGGAAGGAAGGAGGGGGGAGAAGAGAAAAAGTCAGGAGTAAGGCAGGAAGTGAGCAAACAGGAATGGCCTTATAAGGCAAAAGGGAGTCCAACCCCAGCAGTTAAATGCCACACAAAAGACTCGAATCCACATATGAAGGAAACGGGACTCAAATCCACGCGAGGAGGGTCTCGAATCCCAGAACAAGGAAACTGCAGCACAGCGGCCATAGGAGATGGCTGGTGGGCCAAATGCTGCAGTGTCTTCAGCAGGCAGCAGCTATCAGGCCTTCCAAAAGCTACAGATTAGCTCTCAGAACCACAAAATCCTTGGAGTTCCCTGTTCCTGCAACGCTTCGGCTCCCAGAGACCTGCCCAGGATTTTACACCACACAGCCAAAGCTTAAGCCAAGCACCCACAACAAACATCCAGTTTAAAAATAACCAGTCACTTGCTAGAATTTTTGTTCTATTTCGCTCAACCCATTGAAAGCACTGCTGGGGAGAGCCACTGGCACTGCCTCACCCCCAAGGGAACACCCAAGGGAGCAGCATCACCTCCATCCAGCTGCTTCCCAGCCCATCCCTGCTCCGAGCAGTTCCCTCTCCCCCAGCAACAGCCCAGCCCATTCTGAGCCATTCCAAGCCAATACCTGCCACCATTGCATTTTTCCTGTCTCTGCCTTACAGAAACCACTCCAAACTCATTGCAAGTGGAGCAGGGCTGCAGGCTTACAGGAATTAACCAGCATTAGCTGCTATATTGGGATTTAAGTCTCTCACCCTATTACTCTTCTGGTCACATTTTGAACGCTGCTTTGCAAATTGACTTGAATCCACTTACATGACAAAAAAAAAATAAAAATCAGTGTGTTTGCTGACGGTATTGAAAAGAAAGTATTAAAATTGCAAGGGGAGTGTTGTAATGGAACAGAAATATTGACAATTTTGTGGCAGGTTTCTGTGGGAACACCTCCAGAATCCCAGCACGTTTCCTAACACAAGTCCCTCCTGCTTGAGACTTGCCTGTTCTCTGATCACAGGAAGATTGACAGACAAGGACAAGCAATAAAGAAAATTTAAGACTGAAAAGTAATTTTTAGAATGCTTATCTTATCCCACCTATGTTCCAAACAGCAGCTCCCCAGGCATTAGAGAAATCAAGGCTGCAACTTTCCTATAGACCCTGAAAATATTGGCAATGCTTTAAAATACAAATTACCCCGAGGACCAGGACAAAGCCCTGCAACCTTTGTCGGCCAAGGTTCCCTGACCCCTGAGTGCCATGGAGGTTACAGGAGAGGATGTGGGGCTGTAGCAGAGCCAAAAAGGTTGGTGCTGCCTCACCCAGGGGCATTTGCAGCCCTGGAAGATCCTACAACTCTCAAAGACACACGTTGGATTTCAGGGAGACTTGGAGGCTCCTTTTAAGCACTTTTAAATTTAGTTAAGAAAGGAAGAGGCACCACACAACTGCCTCCAGCTAAGAACAGGAGGTGGTTAACTCATTTTACCTTTGGCTTAGGACAGAATTGGTCATTCAACACAGCTTTGGGCAAGAAACTTCATTTCCTTTTCTCCACACTGGGAAAAAGCATGGAGCAAAAGCAAAGCCTATGTCTAAGCCAGCTTTTCTGTAAGATACACAGCAGCAATTTTGATATTCCAAAAATCAACTGTCACAGCAATATTTGTGCAGGTGATCCAACCTGACTGCAGGCTGTGCTTATTCCCAAGGAAACAAACACTTCTACAAAACACTTACACTTCTCTTCTTCTCAGCAGCGGCTTCTTCAGCAGCTTTCTGATACCTTTGAGAGAGTGAAAAACAAACAAAACCCAAGTTTTAACCAGAATACTGAATGCTCCTGAAGACAGCTGAGATTTTTCTTCCCCCACCCCCTGAACCAGCTAAAACTAGAGGCTGGACAAACAGCAGCAAATAACACAAAGCCAAGTGACAGACACATTTTCAGTCATCCAGTTTACAATAATAACACCCATTAATACTTTTCATTCCCTAAGCACTCCGATTCCCAAATAGAGACGGTTTACCTTGGAATAGCTGTATTGTTTCTGCCACCCAGCTGTCTGCTGTGCCCCCTTGCAGGAATAATTCAGCTCTTTATACAGCAGCTGCTGAACCAGAACAAATTCCAGCTTGGCACATGCCGAAAATCTCCCTAAGTGCCAGAGGATTTTACTCCGTGGGCTGGGAACTGCCCCCATTCAGCATTTGCCTCCCGGGCAGCTGAGCCATCCGAGCCCTCGGGAGATAAGCCACCCTGGATCATGAATCAAAGTCCTTTAAGGAGCTCCCAGCAATCTGCACTGCTCTGGGTGCGAGTCCCTCCACACTCCTCACTGGTTATCACAATGTGATTGCACTTGGCCTTTGAAATATGAAAATCAGTGAAAACGACAAATTTTGCCATTTTAAGGAGAGTTTTCTGCCTTTCTGAGAGAAGGAACCCAGCGTCTGCTTGGGCAAAGGGTGTTTCTGTTTCCCTTATCTGTGGAATTCTGCTTTTGGCACAGCAGTGAGCGTGTCACAGGCTGTTGCTCCTCTTTAATCTGTGCAAACACACTAACCCACATCTCTGCACTATAAAGGGTCCAGATTGGAACACAAAGTGATGCTGGAGGAAGAGGGATCAATGCTGCAAGAAGAAACAAAGAGGAACACCGAAGAAACTCAAGTAGCACCTGGAAAACAGAGGAGGACTGAGGAGTCCCAGCCCTCGCTCCGTGAGTCAGCCCAGTGTGGGGCACTTTTTGAATCTCTGCTGTTGCCTTTTGTGCCTCTCTGACCTGACAAAACTGATTATGTGGGATGGAGAAAAACGTTTTCACATACAAATATTTCATTAACAGCACTTAAATGTCACGCTCCTCCCTGTGGGCATCAGGGTGGCAAAGCCAGAGTGCAGGACTGTGTTTTTCCAAGGCACTGACCCCGCCTATGTAGAGGGACACTACTTGATTAAGGAATAGCAGTTTGGATTACTTCCAGTAAGCCTTTTTCAAGGGATTACCAACATTTAGCAAGATGACCAGGTTCTGTAATCAAGCTTCAGCAAGTGAATAAATTGCCTTAACAAGGCAAACAGCTTCTCCCTGGGCTAGAGATGCACAGAGGAACTCTGGAGCTGTGGGTGTATAATTATTCCTCTCCTACAGATCCCAAAAAGTTTGTCCCATTCAAGATCCAAATACTCCAAAATTTTGTTACACTATTAAAGCAAGAGCCTCAGTTCCCCAAATCCTATTGAAAACCCCAGCTAAAGCCTATATAATTCCTTAAGGAAATAAAAGCTTTTCCAGGGAATGCATTGCTTACTACCACTCAGCTTTTTCAGGGTATACAATATTTATGGTTTGAGTTTAGCCTTTTATCCATCTCTCACATAAAAGGGAAGCTTAACATTCATTTTCTACCTAAGTCAGGAGAGGTTTAAGCTGGATATCAGGAAAGGTTCTTCCCCCAGGGAGTGGTCCTGAAAAGGCTCCTCAGGGAATGGTCCCAGGGCTGCCAGAGCCCTGGGAGCATTTGGGAACACGCTGAGGCACAGGGTGGGATTGTTGGGGTGTCTGTGCAGCAGCTGTGAGAGCAGCAGTGCCTGCTCAAGGTGCCAGCTGTCACCTACACACAGCTGGTGCTCCCCAGCCCCACGACACTTACTTGGAGAACCTCTCCGCGAGGGCCGAGGACTTGCTCCTGTTGACCAGGGAAAGCTCTTTTGCAGTGATTTTCAAAGACTGGGAAGTCCATTGCCTTCTGTTGAAGGGGGAAGGCTCCATCTTATCTCCCCAAATCCCTGCTCAGGAGGAAGGAACAGTGTCAGCAATAGGAACTGTGAGCAGAAAAGAAGTCCCACCGGGTGATTTGCCCCCAGCATCCCAGTGCCACCAATCCTAACCCCTCAGGATCTCATCCATCAACTGGCTTTAAAAAGGCAGCAGATCACAGTTATCATTTCCTCTGCAGATGCCATTGAGATGGTGCCCTGATAAAGCCATAGGCACAATGGGGAGCTGGGGACACAGAGCTGTGAGCAGAGGCTGCCAGAGTGACAATCCTGTGTCACACTCACTCACGGGAGTGGGAAGCCCCCAATGCCCTCACTTGTTCCAGTTTCCAACCAAATGTGCTGGCATTTATGTAAGAGGGTTTGAGTTACGAAACGAAGAGGATGTAATTACTAGACAAACATTTTTCATTCACTCTTGTGCTCACTCTCAGCACAGCAGCGTTTCCTCTGTGAGCTCAAACAAGTCTGGTGTTCATGGAGGCAGCTGTGTCCCTCCTGTCACAGGAGTTACAATAATGTCAGTTAAATAGTATTAATTACCTAAAGAACAGCTCCAACCATTCCATCCTCCTGCAAATGGGAAGAGATTTTGCCCAGCTTTTCACCACAGAAGCCAACAAGACTATATCAGATTTATTTTTTACATCGTTTTCTTTCGTGGAAGAGGAAAGGAGGGGAGATTAATTTTAAGAGTTCTCTGATAAGACAAAAATAAAGCCTGCAGGGCAACGCCTTTCCTTTTTTCCTCTTTTATTTTATCCCTAGTCCCATGTCACACAATGCCTGTGGCAAGGGCGTGAACTGAGCCTGCTATGCCAGCTCCAGGCAGGCTGAGCTCTTCCTTGTATTTTCCATTAATTCCTTTAAAGGATTTGCACAGTCACAGAACTCTGGATCCAGTGTGAGCCCAGGTCTGGTCACACACAAACAGAAACGCCTTCAGACAAGGTGCAAACAGACAGTTAAAGGGAGGAAAGATGACATTTCTTACATCCTCACAGGTACACAATGCACCTGCTCAGAAATGACAGAGATGTGGGATTCTGCCACACAGAATTTGGGGGCACAGGCAGAGTCTGGCAGCTCCCAGTGCTGGAATGGGAGCAGAAAAGCCACTCCAGGGGAACACATCTCTGTCCTGGGAGATGCAGCCAGGAAGAATGGGCCTCTCTCTCACACTCCATAATTCCTCTGATGTCCTGGAGGGAGCAGCACGCCACGACAGGACAGGTTTTATCAGAACAGAGCTTTTGGTGCAGCTTTCAGACACGCAGGTTGAACTATCCGCTGCAAACAAGTGATGCTGGATTTGTGGGGATGTTGAAGCACACTGAGACCACTTATCCATGCTGTCTTTCCAGGTGCAGCTACCTGCAGCCTCAGCCCCTGAAAGGCACACAGAGCCCCTTCCAACCAGCAGGGGTTACTTTGTGAAATTCCTGCCTTTTGGAACACTTTCTGCATCACCAAATCCCCTGTAAGCCTCCATCCAGTGCCCTGCATTTGACAACAGCACAACTCACCATCCACAGAGACAAAGGATCTCATTTCCACCTTCTCCCTTTTTAAAAACCATATTGCATACACAAATAAACCCAGTATTTCTGTGATGCAGAGTGCAGCCCCCAGGAGCCTCAGGATATACACACACAGAGAGATCACAGACAGAATTTATTGCTGGAAAATCCCACGGAAAGGATTCCGTCCGTGCTAAAGACCAACGCTGAATGAGCCGTGCCTTGCCACAGTTTGAACTTTGTTTTATGACTAATCTTGAGCCAAAGGGAGCTCACCTGAGGCCCCGCTGCAGTTTAAATGGCCTTTCACAGAGCAGAGTCAGCTGTGCCCAGGAAACAGGAGCAGGGCATTCAGCAGAGCTCCCCTGGCACAAGGAACAGGTGCTCATTGACACACAGACAAACAGTTCAGTAAAACACCGAGAAACAAAACTGAATGGAATTGTTCAGAAAATAACCCTGGTTGGATGCCTGAGCATCCCCCTGCATCTCCAACCAGCCTTTTCAGAGCTGCATCTTCTGCCTGTTGAGGTCTTCTGTTTCCCTGCCATTCTCCATCAAAGCCATTGAGTTAATCTGGACTGTTTAGGCAAAAATCTCTTTATAAACTCAGTACCTGCTGCTGGAACATTCAGCTGGGAAGGGAAGCAGCCTATCTGGAATCTCAGTCACTAGAAATGACATGAAACAGAACTCTGACATTCCTTGAAACTTGTGCTCCCACATTTTTATGCCATTCCACATTCTTAGCACTTTCTCATTCATTTAGATTTTTGGCATGTTAAGTATCTCCGGGCTTTCTTTACTGCTCCTTCTGAATGGTTTATTCAGAGTAATTTCAGAAAACAAATATTAAGGTTTAAACAGGATTGTGAATGTTCTGCTTGCTGCAATGGAAGCAGGGTCTGTGGAAGGTGGCACAGAGCCCAGAGGAGATGGAGACAGGGGTGCCAGAGGTGTGCCAGATGTTGGGGAAGGGAAGGACTGCGACTGAGCCACAATCTAGCGCAGCACCTCAACTCCACCTCCAATAACTTTACTCACAAGATCAACAGCAGAATGTAAATCCCTCTATGTGGAAAGATCCTGAGAGGAAAACCAACACTCGCCCAAAGTGGAAGTGGCCGCAGGGACGGGCCGCCCGCGGGCACGAACCCGCCGAGAGCCGGAGGGCAGCGGAGGGCGCGGCCCCGCCAGCCCCCGGGCCGCTCTGCCGCTGCCCCCGCCGCTACGGCCGAGCCCCGGTGCCCCCCGGTACGAACCGAGCACGGCGAGGGATGACCGGAGCGGGGCCCGGACTCACCCGCAGCGCAGCCGAGCCCCGCGGTGGGTCCAGCCCCGGCTGGCTCCGCTGTCGGGAGGGAGATCCCGGGGCTCCTGCCCCCTCCCCGCGCTTTTATCCCGGCCGAACCGGGCGGGGAGAGCTCCCACCGCACCGATCCCGGCCCGGCCGGCGGCTCCCGGCACACCTGGCCCGGCAGATCTTCCGCACCTGTGCGTGGCCTCCCCGCCCCGCCCCACGTACCTGTCCCGCCGGAACTGGGCGATCCCGGCGCACCTGGAACAACGGCTCCCAACGCACCTGGCCCGGCCGAACCGGCGACTGCCCCTCCGCGCCCGCCGCGGCAACGGGCGGCGGCCCCGGCCCCGGCCCGCCCCGGCCACGCCCCCGGTCCCATTGGCTCCGGTCCGACCGCGCGGCCACGCCCCCCGGCCACGCCCCTGGTGTGGCTCTGTCCCCCCGGGTTTGGTTCTGTCCCCCGGGCTCGGTTCTGTCCCCCCGGTCTCGGTTCTGTTCCCATCCCTTGGTTCTGTCCCCCCCGGGCTCGGTTCTGTCTCCCCCGGGCTCGGTTCTGTTCCCATCCCTTGGTTCTGTCCCCCCCGGGTTCGGTTCTGTCTCCCCTGGGCTCGGTTCTGTCCCCACGGTCTCAGTTCTGTTCCCATCCCTTGGTTCTGTCCCCTGGGCTCTGTTCTGTCGCCCGGGCTCGGTTCTGTCCCCTCGGGCTCGGTTCTGTCCCCATCCCTTGGTTCTGTCACCCCTGGGCTCGGTTCTGTCCTCCCCAGGCTCAGTTCTGTTCCCCGGGCTCGGTTCTGTCCCCCTGGCCTGGCTCTGTCCCCCAGGCTCGGTTCTGTCTCCCGGGCTCGGTTCTGTCCCCTAGGCTCGGTTCTGTCGCCCGGGCTCGGTTCTGTCCCCCTGGCCTGGCTCTGTCCCCTCACCCAGCACTGTCCCGTCACCCAGCTCTGTCCCCTCAGCTGGCTCTGTCCATGTCCCCTGGCTCTGTCCCCTGGCTCTGTCCCCTCACCCGGCTCTGTCCCCTCAGCTGGCTCTGTCCATGTCCCCTGGCTCTGTCCATGTCCTCTGGCTCTGTCCCCTCACCCGGCTCTGTCCCCTCACCTGGCTCTGTCCATGTCCCCTGGCTCTGTCCATGTCCCCTGGTTCTGTCCATGTCCCCTGGTTCTGTCCCCTCACCCGGCTCTGTCCATATCCCCTGGCTCTGTCCATGTCCCCTGGTTCTGTCCCCTCACCCGGCTCTGTCCCCCTCCCCGAGGGGCTGTGCCGGGGGAAGCTGTGCCCGTGCCGGGGGTTTGGGTCTCTTCATTTATTTGCAAACAGGAGAAATTGGCTTCAGCAGCCAGATGGGACAGCCGGCATTCCTGAGATTTCCAACATCCCTGTGCTCCTTAGCAGGACCCCCGTGCTGCTCCTGGCCCGTCCTGCACTTCCTCGAGGGATTTGTCTGAACAATTCATTGTGTTTCTTTAGGAGTTTCTATTCCTTTCCTTGTTAATCTTCCTAATGTGTCAAGTACCAAATCCCCGAGTTAAAAAAAAAAAAAAATTATATGTATTTGGTGCTCCAGCTCCTTCCCCAGCTGCAGGTCTTGGATGTTGATGTTGTCCCAAATTCTGGGCTGTCCCAAATTCCTCTGGAGCTGCTTGCAGAGCAGTGGCCATTAGGACAGGAAGTGGCTAATTAAATTAATATGTTGGTGCTACTTATATGACAGTCTCAGCACTGGCATGTGAAATTTAGTCATTCCAGTAAAAAGTCTGAATTACAGCCCAGAAAATCCACATTGTTTGGATGCTGGTGGGATGAAGGCAGGTCCATCCAACCTGGCCTTGGAGCAACCTGGGCTAGTGGAAGGTGTCCCTGCCTCTGCAGGGCTGGAATGAGATGGGCTTTGAGGTCCTTTCCAGCCCAAAATATTCCAGGATTCCATGGATCAGCACACGGTTGGCCAGTACAGCACAGGAGCACTTCTGGACTGGCATCCCCACTTTTTCTGGTGACAGGAGCACCACGGGGCACCTCAAATGATACCTGATATCAATGCTGAGGCTCTTTTGGCAAACCATCCCTGCTTTTCCTGTGTGCAGCCTCATCTGGAATGCTGCAGTGATGTGCTTTGACTCAGGGTTTTATGGGAAACTTCAGTATTCCAAAATGAGAAATGGATATAGAGGGAGAATTTTTAGGTTACGTAGGATGGAGTAGTTCTTTGGAAATGTTGGGAATACAGGATGCACTGCAGCAGCACCTGGTAGTTTGACTATCCAAATATCAAGGATAAAAGAACGCATCTCACTGCTTGCATTACAGCAGCCCACAGACTGCTGATTGGAATCAGGGAGGAAGAATAACATGGATAAAAAACCAGACTGAGCACCAAAGACGGAGTAAAGCCTCAGCCTCTGTGCCCGTGCTGGCTCTGTGAGAGCTCCATGTGCCGGAGGGATCTGCTGTGGGATGGTGCCCAAATGAGGCCATGCCAGAACGTGAGGCACTCACAGAGCCACGCCATGGGCACGAGGAGGAAGAGAGCAGCACTCGGGAGGTGCTGCCTTGCCTTAATTAATTGTGTGAGAGGTTTCCGAGGTTTAATTTAGGGTGTTACAAACATCCTCCCGGCTCAGACCACGACATCTCCAGCACAGGGACCCACCTCGGGTGGCAGCGGGAGATTCTGTTTGGGCAGGTGTGTGATGAGCAGGGAATGTGGCACAGAATCCTGAATCTCCTGAGCTGGAAGGGACTCGGCAGCCTCGGCTGCAGAGAACTGGCAGTGGCAGTGCTGTGATCTCATTGCTGAGGGCTCTGAGCTCTGATCTCATTCCCCAGCTGCAGCTGAGGGCTCTGAGCTCAGCATTGAGCTAAAATGGGGTTTCTGGTGCTTTGGTGAGAGGTGGTGAATTGCAGGTTGATGGGTCAATGAGATAGGAACGATTCTCCTCTGGGAAACAGCCCCAGGTGTAATTATTAATCTGTTGGTAGTGCCTCTTGCTTTCCAGGGATATCTGCAGTCACTCTTGGAGCTGTAGAATGGAATCGCTCTGCTAGGTTTATACCAGAGGGGAGAATCCAAAGAAAGGTTTTCTGTCTTTACCTCTCCCTTTCTGATGTTTCACCCGGGTCTCACTCAGGGCATTGCAGCATTTCCCGAGGAGCCAGCACTGACTCTGAGTGTTGGGGCTCCTGAGCTTGCCATAGCCCAGGCCCAGCACCAGCAGACAGGGTGAGGCAGCAGCTGAAGAAACCCCCAGAAAAGCCTGGGACACCCTCATGACATTTTTTTTTTTTTGGTTTTGAGGTCCCCACCCAATCCGTAAACTCCAAGTGACCCCTCCCAACAGCACCACTGGTTTGTTTAATCAGTGATTAAAGTGGAATTTTATTTCCATTTCCAAACATACTCTGTCAGTCTATAAATTCCCTTTTTGCTTTGTGATAAAACCTAGGTAACAGAAAATCACCTCATGGAACTCCTGTGGCACAGCTTTGCTAAGGCAGGGCTGCACACCTGTGGTTGTGATGGCACAGCTGAGCTCTCCCCTTTCTGCCTGCAGGTAACTTTAGCCAGGAGCTGCTCACTGAGACTCTTTTATTCCTGGACAGTTGGAGCTGCTGCTTCTTCTTGGGTTACAGAATCCTTTCTTCCTCATCCTTGGGGACTGGGAGAGACATTGGATCCACCTGCTGAACACGACTGATTCCTTCCCCTCATGTCAGGTTATTGCAGAGGCCACGGACGAGCAGGATGGGTGGATGGATTCCCTGCAGGAATTGTGTTCCCTGTGGGACAGAGGCAGAACTGCTGAGTCCTTTCCTGGCAGCTCCTGGCTGTCCTTGGCATCCTGGCTGGAGGAGCAGGAAAATCTGAGTTCCTGGTCCTCAGCAAGGGAGCATCTCACAGCCATCTCTCACCCAGTGGTTTTGGAGCTCCCTAATTAGCCCTCAGACGTGACTCTGGCGGCGCTGGGAATTCAGGAAGCACCATTCCCACTTTACAAGGGTGAAGTGAGGAACAGGAATCCAAAACTGCTGTTGAGTAACTGAGCTGGGATTGACATCCCGGGACCTGCCCTGCCCCCGGGGCACGATGTGCTCCTTTTTAGCCATGACCTCATGCTTGGATTTAAATGCCCCTGGGAAGAGGAATGAGAGATGGAGAAAGAAGAGAGACCAGGAAGTCCTGCGGCTTTGCCAAGAACCTTGGTAACAACAAATCCAAACAACTCACGACCTTTTCCTTACTGATGGTGTGGGAACTGCTGTGCCTAGGGCAGGGCTGCCCAGATGAACAAATTCATGCCATTAATGTAATTTATCCACCTCTTTTCTGGTGCTTATCGAGACACGGTGAAGCCCTTTGGACTTTTTTGCCTTTTGACTTAACTGCCTTCGAGGCACAAGTGCAGCCCTGAGGGACAGCTCCTGGCCAAGCAGGATGTCCCTGGTGTCTCCAGAGCCTTTGGAGGAGTTAAACATTAACTCCTGGGCAGCTCCAGCTGTCCAAGGTCCAGGAGGAGCCCTGCTGGGGCAGCTGCACTTCCCGCTCCTGCCCTTTCCTGGTGATTCACCCGCTCCTCCTCCCTGCCTGGAAGTCTGAGCTGGATGGAGCGTGAGAAGGTGGGGCAGGGACACCTGAGCTCTCCTGAATCTATTCTGGAGATCAGCTCCTGATGGCTGGATGCCCTGGAGGGTTTCCTGCCTGGAATTCAATGTAGCAAGCAGGGAAAATCCTGGGTACCAAAAGACTCACCTGAGCTACAGAAAAATCCCCCCACACCGTGCAAAGCTGGTGCTCCACAGCAGGTCCCTGCTCCTGGCAGGCAGCTGTGAATCCATGTGAGCCTCTTGTTGTCCTGCTGTCCCCTGCATGGATTTTTTTTTTCTTTGATCATGTTAAATAAAAGGGTAAAACCTTTTCCCTGTGGCCATTTGAAGAGGGTGGCCCAGCAGCAGGGCAGGAGGCAGATGGGAAGAGCTGGTTTATTTGAAATTATAGCCCAGTTTCTACACTCCAGCCCTGCCAAGGCTCTGGGTGTAGCCAGTCTGCCACAGGAGAGGGACTGCTCAGGGCTGGCTGCCCTGGAGCTGGAGCTTGCCTGGCATGTTGGGATCAGACTCACGATGGCTCTGAGCTGCCCAAGGCACCTCTCCCACAGCAGGACTCAGTTTTGCCTGGAAAAGCCAATCGGTTACTTCAGCACCGATGGGAATTTGTGAAAATACAATGGCACAATCTCTGCTGAGCTCAGGCCCAGAAGCAGAGCCAAGAGCCTCCCTGGCTTTGGATAAAACTTTGCTGTGGTTACCGGCGTCATGGGATCATGTGATGGCAGCTGATCTCTCCAAACCTCCAAAGTTCTCACTCCAGGCCTCTTCTGCTGCATAAAAACACCCTGAGTGCTCAAAACATCTTCTCCCTGCTCGGGTAATCATTTATTGATAGCAGAATTATCAGCCAAGTGTTGTTGAGTAAACTGCCACTGCTGGTGTTTCTGATCCTGCCAAGGCCTTTTCCCAGCCCTCTCCCCAGCCACAAACCTCCAGCACCCTCACTTGAAGGGATTTATTTCTAAACAGACAGACTTTCTCCCTCCAGCCCAAGGACATGCTCAGCACAACATGTCACATCCCTTGATTCTTCCAGTTTGCGTTCTCAGCCCAGGGAATTTAGGAATCGGGTCTAAGCTGGACTCTGAGCCCCTTTGAACCATGCTGATGGAGAAATGAGTGTCTAAAAATGACTTTAAAGGAACTCTAGGGAGAGAGAAGAGCAGGAACCTGTCAGCTGGGAGCTGCTGCCCCTTCCGAGATCTCTCCCCTGTGAGGAGCACAGCCCTGGATTTTCTGGGACCTTTTTCCTGCAGGATAACACAAGGTTAGGACAGGCAGAGTCAGCTCTGCCACAGGGCTGGTCCTCTGGAGAGACGAAAGGGAGGTGGTTTGGTGGCCAAATGAAAGTCGTGGCTTTAAGGAAGAATTAAAGCCAGATGTTTCCAGCAGCTGCTGAGCCCAGCCTTTTGTGTCGGAGCCACCAAGGAGGCCTTGGCAGCATCTGCAGAGCCCCGTGGTGGGAACACCCTGCAATCCTGCAGGCTCTGCCACGGTGCTGGAGCTCCCTGGCTGCCTGGCAGGAGGCAGCAGGAGCTGAGGCAGAGATAGCGAAGCCAGCTCACCATTTATTCTGTGTCTAAAAATATTTATTCCCTGCTGATAGTGGGGGTGGCAGCAGAGGTGTGGGAAGCAAATTTAGCACATCTGGACAAAACACTGGGGCCGAGAGGTGGTTGAGCCATGTTGGCATCAGCTCTGCAGGCACTGGGCAAGATGTGGGGAGCAGGGACAGAACATCACCCCCGAGCCAGGGACTGGCTTGGACCCCTCAGGTAACCAGCAGATAAATCTGCTGTGCAGGGAGCTCATCAGAGTCAGGGGCAATAAACAATCCCTGCCTTGCTTCTGGTTTTTGTACTCAGCTGGGACAGAAGTGAGCACCCATTCCACACAGTGGAACACCAGGAAAAGGGAAGGTGGCTCCTTATTTCAGCACAGTTGTGGAAGGAGCAGCACTTTGCACTGCAAGGGAGAGCCCAGACCTCAGGACTGCCAGTGGGAGGTCCCAGCTCACACCCAGGAGCCATAAATCTCTCCTAGCACTGCTCCTCCTTCTCCTTGTGGTTTTAACATTCACTCCTGGCTTCCTAAGGCCAAATTCCTGGTGCCCTCTGCTCTCCCCTGAGGTGGAGTTTCCTCTTGCAAAAGCAGCGGTGTCCTTGCTGGCTCTGTTGCTGCTCAGGTCTCTGTGTCATGGTCCTCACATTCCTCCTGCCCCATCCTGAGTGCTGGGATGCTCCTGCTCTAGAGGAGCAGGGGAGATGCCCTTGAATCCAGCTGGGGAATGAGGAATAAATCCATGAGGTATGCCTGAAGCAAGGAAAAGTCAATAGAGCAGAGAGAGGTTGGTGACAGGAAATCCCAGTTTTTACTGGCATGGGCTCACATCAGATAATCTGACTATAACAAGAAAGAAATGGCTCCATATTCTGATTTCATGGAGCTGGGTGGGGGCTGCTGCAGGAAAGGAGCTTCTTTCCTTCCCTTTGCTTGTTCTCAGCCTGGGATTTGTCTCATTTGTGTCCACCAGCTCGCTCTGGAACACCCTGGGCAGGAGGAACGATTGTTCCTGCCGTGATTATTCCAAACCCAGCTGCTGGGAGAAGGCTTTGGGAGCTGCTGGGCTGCCCTGGATGGGCTCGGGGGAGCTGCCCGTGCCTCAGTGACAGCTGCTGACTCACAGCAAAGAACCTGCCCGGGTACAAACAGAGAACTGGTTGTTTCACCTCCCAGCAGGTGACAACAGGACCTGGTCGTGTCCTGGCTTGGGTGGTGTCACTCCCATGTTTCTCCCTTGGCTGACACGGAATTGTTGTCACCCTGCAGGAATTCTTCTCTCACTCTATGCACCAGGCCTGGTTTTCCACCCCAGCCAGCGAGGCTGGGAGTGTTCCTGAGCTGGGAGTGTCCTGCTGACTCTGAGCCTTTACCAGCCGGGGGTTTCCATGGAATGGGCAGAAGAACTGCTGGGAAATGCGCCAATCTGAGCATTAGTGGTAATTTACATCCCAGCAAAGCCTGGCTCCAGGAGTCCTCAGCTCCTGTGGATCTCAGGTGCTCAGCAGGTCTGGAAATGGGGCTAAGAAATGTTCCATGCTGCAATCCCTCCGTTGCTTTGGGAAATCCATTTGGGCACACTCAAAATGAAGGAGCAGCTTTGGGGCTCAGGAGGTTTGTGAGCCAAGGGCCATGCTTACCCTTCCCAGGGGTGTGAGGATGAAGGAGTTAATGGTTGCAAAGTGCTTCGGAGAGGACAAGAGCTCAGTCTGATGGCTTCTCACCAGGGAAGGGGATGAAGAAGAAGAAGTTCTCACTCTCAATGGACCTGTGAGGTCTCACTACATCATGGAATTATGGCATATCCCGAACTGGAAGGGACCCACAGGGATCATCAGGCTGGCAGCTGGCCCTGCACAGACACCCCAACAATCCCACCCTGTGCCTGGGAGCGTTGTTGAAACGCTCCTGGAGCTCTGGCAGCCTCGGGGGCCTCTGACCATTCCTGGGGAACCTTTTCAATGCCTGACACCCCTCAGGGGGAAGAACCTCTCCTGATACCCAACCTAACCCCCCCTGACACAGCTCGAGCTGCTCCCTTGGCTCCTGTCCCCGCTCCCAGGAACAGAGACCAGTGTCTGATGTGACAAACACAGATCTGACAGGGGCTGCTCCCGTGCTGTCCCTGGGGACTGAGGTCAGGCACCTCTTGACAGCGAGAGGATTCCAAAATTCTGCAGTGTGCGAGCCGTCCCCTCCCGTTTCTCCTGCTCCAACTTTATTTATTTCACTTCTGTTTCTTTTTCTTTCACTTCTCCACGTCTTGGAGCTGCTCCCCAGGGAACAGCCAAGGGCCTGGCAGCTGGGCTGTGTTTGCAGGGCAGCTTGTGCTCGGTGTTTAATCTCCTCAGTGGACCCTGATTATTCCCTGGCTCCGACTTATCCACGCGGATCTGCCCAGCCCTAATTGCAGGTGATGGCGTTGGTGGGGTCCCTTGTGGCAAGCACGTTTCTCTCCCTCTCAGGATTTTCATAGAGGTGCACAGAGAGAAATGAAAGAGAAAACAATTTCTATTTCTGCTCCTTGTTTTTCCTGTGTGGAATGTGTTTGGAGAATTGTTTACCTGGGGTGATTGCTTGATTGGATTCTGGTGAGGATTGTTTGAGCCTGGTGGCCAATCCAACCCACCTGGGGCTGGACTCGAGAGAGGGTCACCAGTTGTGTTAGAGAAAGTAGTTTGTAGTTTTAGTATCTTCCTTTTATATAGTATATTGATGTATTTTAGCATAGTTATAATAAAGAAATAATTCAGCCTTCTGAATTGAGCCCGACATCATCATTTCCTCCCATTGGGTTCACCTGCATTTACAATTGTCCCTCCCAGGGCACTGATTCATGGCAACCTGAGGGCTGGAATCTCCATCCTCCACTCACACCAGAGTGTTTTAATTCTCTTACCAAAACCAGCAAATTACACCTCAATGCTCTGTAACACATTTTGTGGGTTTTTCACTAAAGCAAAGCGGTTTCAAGGCGTGTTTTCCCCTCAGAGCATCATTCCTGCTGCTACCATGGGTCTGGGTGGGGAGGGGGGGTTGAAATGCACCAAGTCGTGTATCTTGTGAAGAGTTCTTAATTTGCAAGGAATTTGTACATCATGTATGAGATATATGAATATGCAACAGGCTGTTGCTTTTAAGGTTATTCCTTTGTTCACAAGGTATGTTTTTTCATGACTTAGTGTCTGAGAGCATCTGGACGTCCGTAATTCTTTGCTTTTTATTGTCGTGTAATTGTCCTAACTCTAAATTTTATTACTCTCATTGTAATACCATTTTTATAACCATTATATTATTATTAAACTTTTAAAATTTTAAAAACCAAGCGATTAGCGTTTTT